GAGGGAGCAGCGCGCGCAGATGGACGCAGACCCCGAGGGTGAGGGTCGGGGTGCTGCAGGGGCGGCGGTGCGGGCATGTGGTCGGGAGGGCTGACCCCCCGCAGAGCCTTCCCGGCCTCCACATTTCCTTCTGGGCCCGATGGAGAGGTTGATGGTGCATTTTAAGCCCGAAATGAGTCCAGATTCTCAGGTCTATGAGCCCCTGGAATCGTGTGTGTGCACGCACCATACTTGCATCTTTCTGGAGACAGAACAGGCTTCTGTCAGAATTTAAAAGGCCCATGATCTCTCCCCAGCAAGAATCTTCTTGTTTTGGAGGCTGGCCCCTTGGCGCGGCGGTTAAGTTTACACGTTCCATTTCGCCAGCCCGGGGTTCAGATTCCGGGTGCAGACACGGCACCGCTTGTCAAGCCATGCTGTGGTAGGTGTCCCACATATAAAGTAGAGGAAGATGGGAACGATGTTAGCTCAGGGGCAATCTTCCTCAGCAAAAAGAGGAGGACTGGAAGCAGATGTTAGCTCAGGGCTAATCTTCCTCAAAAAAAAAAAAAAAAGAAAGAAACTTCCCATTTCACAGATGCAGGAGCAGCTTCTCCAAGGTTGACAGAGAGGGTCCCAAATCCAGTGCTGACCCCCAGGGAGGGGCTGCTTCACCTGGGAGGGACCCAGCTCCCCATGGGTCGGGCGGAGATGTCAGGGCTCGGGCACAGGAAAAAAACAGCCACTGCTTGCTCTCCCCAGGCCCATGCAGCTTTCACGACATCCCCATTTCACAGATGTGGAAACCAAGGCTTGGAGAGTGCAGTGGGATGAGTGGTGACCCCAAAAAGACACGTCCCCTGGAATCCGGGAATGTGATCTTATTGGGAAAAAGGGTCTTTGGAGATGTAATTAAGTTAAGGGTCTCAAGATGAGATCAACCTGGATTAGGGTGGGCCTTAAATCCAACGACAAGTGTCCTTATAAGAGACACACAGAGAAGAGACACAGGGAGAAGAGAGGCAGAGACTGGAGCGATGCGGCCACAAACCCAGGAGTACTGGGGTCCCCAGGAGCGGGGAGAGGCAGGAGGGCTCCCCCGTGATGCCTCCAGAGGGAGCTGGGCCCTCCTGACAGCCTGATTCTGGACTTCGGGCCTCAGCCGCTGGCAGAGAAGAGATCCCTGTTGTTTTCAGCCGTCCAGTCTGGGGTCCCTCGTTACAGCAGCCGCAGGGACCTCACGCGGAGTATCACCTGCCCCAGGGACAGGCAGGGATTCAGCCTGAGTCTGAGCTGCAGACGACCCTGCCCCGTGGATGGAGAGCAGACCGGCCCCTTCCTGCCTTTCTTTTAAGTTCCAGCTGCGCCCACCCCCAGCCCCAGTGTCTGGGCCGCAGGAGGTGCCCGGTCCACTCTGCCTTTGCCGCGTACCCAGGGGCTGGCGTGGCCCTTCTCCCCTCTGCGGGCAGCGGCTGAGCGTGAAGCGGCAGGGAGCTGGGGACGCAATCAGGCCCAGGCTCAGCAGGGCCGGAAATAGCAGAGGCTGCCGGGGCCTTGGGCCACACCAGGGTCACGGGGTCAGGGGCAGGGCACTGGGGGAGCCTGAACGGGCTGGCCGGCAGCACCCAGGGCTCCTCCTGTGCCCACCCCCCCAACCCTGTCCCCATGAGACCTTCTCAGCCACGCCTGCCTCAGGGCAGTGCCCCCGCTGTCCACAGAGAGTCCAGGCCAGGGCCCAGGCTCGCGACCTGGAAGATGACCCCCACCCCCATCTGCCGTGACCCCACCCTTCGCCTGCTTCCTCTCCTGAAGCAGGAGACCACCCCCTGCCTGTGGCTCCAGGGAAGCCCGAGCCAGCACAGAGCTGGACCCAGGAGCGGACGCTGCTGCCTCTCGACACCAGCACGGTCGGAGGGAGACAAGCGAAGCAAGGCAGTGGGACACACCAGTGACCTCTGGCCTCCCTCTCCCAGGGTGGCCCTAGGGAGGTGCCTCCTGCTCAGTGGTCCCCAGGCTCTCTCATGGCCCCCTCCAGGCCTGGCACAGGGTGGTCCACGTCTGGGCCACTGGAGTCCGGCTTGTGTACCCACAGCTGCACCCCCAAATCTCTGACACACACTGCACTTCTCGCTGCTCCCGGGGCAGCATCGGCCAGGCCGGGCCGGCGGGGTCGGCTGGGGACGTCAGGCTGCTTGGAGAGGGCTGGGGGATGCACCCCTCGAGGAGACGCACGGGTGGAGCACGCTCCGACCTCCTGAACCGCAGCACCCAGGCCCTGGACAAGATGGACGGGCAGGGCAGGGGCTGCTGGACACCTGGAGGGGCGTCACGGTGCTGCATCCACCCCTCCCAATGCAGGCCAGCCCCGCATCCCACCTGGACAACCACAGCAACACACTGGGCCACCTCCTCCGTGCTGCCCATCTTTGCCCTGTGGACTCTGATCCTATCGCCTGCCCCCTCCCCCACTCCCTCCCCCCGCTCACCTCTGCAGCCTCCCAGACCCCCACCAGTCTTGCAGCCTCCAGGCCTTCCTATGCTTCTCTCCTTCCTTCCAGTCCTGGGAGAGTGCTGCTCTTTCTTGTCCCAGGGCCTTTGCACAGGCTGTGTCTTCTTCCCAGAGCCCTCTCCTTCCCCTCTTTCCCAGGCAAACTCGGCCTCCAGGCCTTGTCCTTTCCTGCCCACCTCCAGATGAGTTCCCTCGGCCCCTGGAACTCCCAGAATCTAATCCAGGAATCATTTCTTCACCGTCAGCTTCTCTCGGGGCCTGAAGCTCCAAGAGGGTAGAGCCATGTGCCTTCTGGGGATGGCCAGATCCCAGAAACACTGTGTGCCAGCACCTGGTTCTGGCCTGTGCACAGTAGGCACTCAGAAGGTGGGGGCGACTTTGACGGGGCCCACCTGGGAGGGGGGCAGAGAGCCACGCCTCCCACTTCCTCCTGGCTCAGCCACGCTCTGTCCAGCAACGTTTTTGAAACTAAATTCTTTCCAGTCACATTTTTAAGGGTGAGTTTTGGTGCCATGAAAGGGTCTGTAAAGGCTTCATCATTTGAGTCCCCTGCCAGCCCTGCCAAACTGGGCCCATCAGGGCCAAGAGCTGGGGGGCTGTACTCCCCACCAGGCCCCAAGTGGGGCAAGCTGCTGGGAGACGGGCAAGGAGAATGAGGCAAACACTGGTGTGGCCATTATTCACAACAGGCTATTTGGGTGCTTTTAACGGGACTGGGGACACCCGGTTCCTCCTCCAGCAGGAGGGCCTCCCAAGTCCAGCTGGAAGGACCAGCATCCATGGCCCCGGGTGCCATCCCTGTAGCCTTCTGGGAACAGCCCGAACATGCAGGCAGGGACCATGGGGCGGTTTATCCCAGTGCCACTCCTCGCTGGCTATGTGGCCCTTGGTGGGCCGTGTGTGCCCGTGTCCCTCTGCGGGACATGTGTGGACTGTGTGTAGACGAATGGGGCAGAGCACCCAGCACAGGGCCCGGACACAGTGCGGGCCATGCCGGGCGTCCTCCTGCTGGACAGTCTGTCCCCGTAATGCCTTGTTCAGTCATCTGTCTCCCCCTCCTGGCACCCCGAGGACGGAGGCCCAGAGGACCGCACAGCGATGCAGGTAACACAGACCATGAACCCCGCTCATCGCGCTCATCAGGCCCTGCCTGGCTCTCCGGGCAGCACTCCTGGAAGGTGGGGGGATGGCAGGCCCTCCCCTGCCCCAGCCCACATCCACAAACATCTGAATGAGAAGACAAAAGAAGCAGAACCCCGTGCCAGGCTGCCACCGGGGCCGATAAACAGAGCCAGACGTGGGGGCAGCCTGAGAAGGTCCTGGAACAGCCAGGGATGACCTGTGTCTGCGTCCTGCCTGGTCCCGCAGGCCCCAAGCTCCCTCCCTCCCTCGGGCCCTCGGGACTCTGGCTGGGAGCCCGCCCGGGATGTTTATATCCCGGAGGACGGGGAGCCCCCGAGATGGATCCACACGGCGCTTCCGCTCCCTCGGGGCCGTGGGGGCCAGGGCAGAACCGGAGTGGCCCGGAGGCCGGCCGGTCACGCAAGAAGGCCTCCGGTCAAACGGCAACCCTGGGAACACTCCGTCCCCACCTCCCTCCGCACGTCCGGGGTCAGCGGTCACTTTATAAATAGCGGCCCCTGAGGAGAGGCCTCACCCCCTGCAGGCTCTGCCGAGTGACCTGGGGGTGTCCCTTGGAGGGATGCGCGGAGCACCCGGGGTGACAGCCGGGGACACCGCCAGAGGCTCCGTGGACTCTGCAGACGAAAAGGAAGCAGGTTCCGCAGATGGCATTTTCTCCCTCCGGCCGGCAGCTGGGAGACGCCCCAACAATTTCATCACAGCTCAGGGGGCCAAGGAGAAATGGCACCGACTTTCTACTTCGACAGAGCACCATGCCTTGGCCCCAGAAACCTGGACAGAGAGGGAATGGTGTCTGCGCCACAAGGAATAACCCGTCTTAAACCATCAGGGCTCCTTAATACACAGAGAAAAATCTGGAAAGTCACTCACCCAAAGGCCTTATCTAGACCCCCCTCCCTCCCCTGGACCCCAAACCTCTTGACAGAGTCATCTGCTGCCGGGAACCACTGTAGAGACTTTGAGACAGGCAAAGAAGGTTGCTAGGAGTCCCCTCTAGGGCACCCCTCCAGGTCACGTCAAAGCTCTCCCGCTACTGGGTATTTATCCAAAGAACTTGAAATCAACAATTCAAACAGATCTATGCACCCCTGTGTTCATGGCAGCATTACTCACAGCAGCCAAGATGTGGAAGCAACCCAAGCGTCCATCCACTGAGGACTGGGTAAAGAAGATGTGGTGTATACATACAATGGAATACTACTCAGCCATAAAAAAGACAAAAATCATCCCATTTGCAACAACACAGATGGACCTTGAGGATATTGTTAAGCAAAATAAGTCAAACAGAGAAAGACAAACCCCGCATGATTTCACTCATATGTGGAAGATAAACTAACACATGGACAAAGAGAACAGATTAGTGGTTACCAGAGGGGAAGCGGGGGTGGGTGACAGGGACAAAGGGGCACATAAGTATGGTGATGGACAAAAATCAGACAACTGGGGGTGAGCACAACGAAGTGTATTCAGAAACTGATAAACAACATACACCTGAAATTACACAATGTCATAAACCATCACGACCTCAATAAAATTACTTGGGGAAAAAAAAGGCTATTTTACAACTCTGCAAATTAGAGGAAACAGGAAGCTGGTAACAATGCCGATGACCCTGGTCTGCAGAAACGCAAGAACTGTGCCCTCGAAAGGCTTGGCGGTCAGATGGGGGCGACCCCGCTCCGCGTGGTTCTAAGCGCACGTGTCATGAGCAGGAATTCCGCACAGGACAGACAAATTGACCTCTGCAAGAACTAACGCCGGGAGAGGGGTCCAGGCTACACTTGGATGGCGACTTTGCATGTGGGGAACACCAGGAACCCCACAAGTCTGCACCTCCCTGCACGGCCAGCAGCCCGCGGCAGCTCCCAGCATCTCCCGGTGCCTCTGGGGCCCGAGAGCCTGGGCTCCAGACCCCACCGCCTGCCACTCCCGGGGCATTGCCGGCTGGAGTCCTGTGATGTCAGGGTCCAGCTCCTTTACCTGGAAACAGGACAAAAACAGCCGGCCTCCACTGAGCCCCCCGTGAGCCAAGCCCTGAGCTTCAGTCCCATCGGGGGAGGAAACTGAGGCACAGGGAGGTTAAGCGACTCACCCAGGGCCAGAGAAGCCAGACTCTGAGCTCGCCCCAGGGTCTGAGGCTTGCGGAGCGCCAGGCGCAGGGCCCGGAGCCAAGCTGGTTCCTCAGGGCCCCTCCCGGGACCCTGAGAGGTGAGGCCCCGCCCCCTGGTGGAGGCTCCTGGAATCGCCCCGCGTGGACCAGGAGGCCTGGGTTCCCCACTGCGGAGCCTTGCACCCCCGGAGGAGCGGCTGGCTGGGGCGGACGCCCAAGTTCAGGGCACCCCCTCCCACAGAGAGCAAAGCGCAGGGGAGGGCCAGGAACCCCCGGCCACTCCAGGGCCAACAGGACGGGCTGGAGGACAGGGGCACCCACAGGCCGGGCCTGCCGACTCCAGAAGCCCCGGTCTGCGTGGGAGCCATTAGACGTGGCCGTGAAGCTGAACTTCTGGGCCCCCGCAGTCACTCCGAAAGGCTTGTGATGGCCCCAGGGGGGTCCTGGATCCCCGCGGCCTTCCCCTCCTAAAGGCAATGAGTCCACAGGGCCTGTCGCTGACCCTGGGAATGTCCCTGCTCTCCCCTCCCAGCTGGGCCCCTGGAAAGGCCGTGGGGGCCGGCTGGCCAGCAGGCAGAGATCTGGAAGCCAGAGGTGAGCTGGGCAGGGGGGTGGGAGGGATGAGGGGGAGTGAAGCCGCCCCACCCCCATCCCCACTCCACTCCACCCCACCCACGCATGCTCCCAGTAAGACGTCTCCAAGACACTCCCCGAATTCCACCACCAAACCCCTCATTCTGCGGAACTGTGCTGGGGTGGGAGGAGTGCTTCCGTCGTGCTCCCGTCTCTGGCTCTGCCCTTCCCTGCGGGTACCAAGGACTCAGTTGTGAAGGAGCGGGCAGCCCCGGGGCCATCCATGCAGCTGGGTTTCTGGGGAGGGAAAACGGCTCCATTTGGAGGCCCAACCTGGCCTCAGACCTCCCTCCAAGCTGCCTGAGTCCTGACTCTGACACTTCTCCAGATCCAGGGCAGAGATGTTGCCAGAGGTCTGGAAAGCCCAAGCTCTCCCCAGCCGCTCATACCTGGAGATAAGCCCTGGATTCGGGGCTGAAGCAGGCTTTCTGCTCTGAATAATCTTGGTCTCTGCCTGAAGCCGTCCATTCAGTGCAGGTTTGTTGAGTGCTTCCTGGGCCTGGCAGGGACATGGACGGACGGACTGGAGCGGGTCTGGGTCTGCAGAAGGGCCTTCCCAAAGCTCTGTGCCTGCAAATCCAGCAGCTGCCACCAGGGGGTACCCCAGCGAGAGTACCGGCTGGTCTGGATTAACCCAAGGAACTGGGCTGCCCTTCCACATCCCTCCCCCGTCTCTGGCCTTCCTCTCCTTCTTCCTCCCCTGGGCCCTCGTTTCTCCCTCCTGCAGACTTCCAGCCCACCAGCCCATTAGCCAAGACAGATGCCTAAAGGACCCTCACCCCCTGGGGTCATTTCCACCGGCTCCATGGCCCAAGAGTAGACTCTGCTTTCAAAAAGGGGGTGGATTTTTCAAATTTTTCAAAAAGAGGATTCTGCAATTTTGTTTAACATAGAATTTCCCAAACGAGTTTCTCCTCTTTTCTCCGTAGGGCATCTCAAGGGACAACTTGAGTCGTCCAGGGGAGCACACTTCGGGAAATGCTGCTTCGTGGGCAAACGACAAAAGTCCCTCCTCCCTGTTACCACGGTTGCCAAATTTAGCAAATAAAGATTCAGGGCTGGCCCAGTGGTGCAGCGGTTAAGTTCCCACGTTCCACTTCTCAGCAGCCCAGGGTTCACCAGTTTAGATCCCGGGTGTGGACATGGCACCGCTTGGCAAAAGCCATGCTGTGGTAGGCGTCCCACATATAAAGTAAAGCAAGATGGGCATGGATATTAGCTCAGGGCCAGTCTTCCTCAGCAAAAAAAAAAAAGTGGAGGATTGGCAGTAGTTAGCTCAGGGCTAATCTTCCTCAAAAAAAAAAAAATTCAAGACAGTTAAATGTGAATTCCAAGTAAACACAGAATAAGTTTGAGCATCTGTGTCCCATAAAGTATTCGGGACCTACACTTTTTTGTGCTTGCTGTTTATCTGAGATTCCAGTTGAACTGGGCATCCCACGCTGGATCCAGCAACTCCACCATGAAACTTGAGGGGAAAGCTGACTTGGGCTGGGGCTCACCCGGGCTGCAAGGGAACGGCCCCACTACTGCCAGCATCTGGGAGCAGGGGGCTGGTCCTCACCCCAACCACTCCAGCAACAATTTGCCTGATGCCCTTGGGCAAGACCCTTCCCGCCTCAGCTTCTGCATGTGCCAAATGGGCAGGTCAGCGTGGAGATCGCACCTTCTCTTACTTCTGGAACTTTCTCTGGCTATAGCCCCTGATTTCATGCAGGAGCCTTTGGGGACACCCCTGGGGATGGAGACTCAGGGTCCAAGGAACTCAGGGGGAGCCAGGGAGTCCCCCTGTAGGCGATCACTCTGCCTGCCTGGCCAGCCTCCTGCCCAGGGAGCGAGGCACACAGCTGACTCTTCCTCTGGCCCAGAGCAACTTCCTAGCGGAGGAGGATTTCCCTGCCATCTTGCTACTTGGGATGGATGTGAGAACGTGCCAGAACCAGGGCTGAAGGCATGGGTTTCACGGCAATAATACCAATCCTGACCACGCATTCATTCAACAGACACTTGGAGACGCACTGCATGCAGGCACTGGGCTCACCCCTAGGTGTGACGGTGAACGGGCAGAAGGCGTCTTCTGGCGTTTGCATCCAGAAGACCCAGCAGATGCCCAGAAAAGCAACCTCAGTAAATGCAGCCTCCAAACCCAGGTCAGCTGCTGCGCACCAGTTCTGCACCAAGCCCAGGGAGGAGCTGCTGCCTCCCGGGTCCTTCCCACCTGGTCCTCCGGACCCTGCGAGGCCACCCTGGCCTTATTCTACGGCCCGCTCCCACACCTTGCGTCATTACTGCGAAGTCCTCTGGAAGAGATGCAGTCGTCCACACTGCACCCAGAGCAGCGACAGGCTGCCAAGATTGTGGGGGGCAGGAGGGGGAAAGGCATCACGAATGCAGATTCCTGGGCCTGGCCAGACCCCAGATGCAGGCTCTGGGGGTGGCCCAGGAATCTGCATTTTAACCCCAGGTGGTTCGGACTCCCCCTGAAGCTTGAGAGGCCTGGTCTGAGGTTCCTGAGGAGCCAGCTGCCCTTCTTCCCAAGCCCACAGGGACCAGGAGCTTGCAGACCGAAGGGAAGGGCGAGGCCCCACATGACCAGGCCATGGGCAGGGGGAGACATCGCTGGGACCCAAGCCACTTCAGATGGAGCCCCCCATGTGCCCAGACCCGAGGGGCCCAGTAGGTCCGGGCACACAGTCCGGGCCTTGGCACACAGTAGGTGCCCGGTAAGGACAGCAGCTCCCTCTGTGTCACAGCCTCACCCCTGCCCTGCAGCACCTCTCCTCGCAGGCACCCAGGCCAGGCAGGGGGTGAGGGCAGGGACCGCAGAAGCTGAGAGTGCAAAACAAACAGGTTTCCCTGAACGTCAAGGGCACTGCCATCCCAAAAATGAGGCCAGGTTTGGAGATTTGGCCCACGGCCCTTCGGGTAAAAGATGGCAGAGTTCTGGGTCTAGAATGGAAAATGCTAAGGCCAGGGGCGTCTGTGGACCAGAGCTGTGGGAAGTCGCCTGGCACAGCTCTGCCCCAGCTCGCCCTGAGTGAGGGATCACAGCCCCCGAATGTCTGAGACCACGGAGGCCCCGGGCTGCTGGGAGCGCGCAGGCACGTGGACACCGCCCTGACTGCCGGCAGGGCCGATGCCCCGTGGAGCGGGCTCAGCAACGAAGCCGGCCCTGCTCCGCGGTCCCCACTGCACAGTGACACCCAGGCCTCACGCTGCACCTGGGAGGGCCCGCTCAGGCCAGCTGATGCTGCCGCCTCCCCCAGGCGCCTGGACCGAGTCCCGACCTCCATACCCGCCTGTCCCCTGGTCACGCCCCGCTCTTCTCTCCCACACCTGCTCTGCAAAGGTGCGGGTTAGCTCTCTACCTGTAACTCAAGGGCTCAGCCCCAAACTTCTCAAAAGAGGACGGATGCGGGCGAAGCTGGCTTCCTGTAGGCAGTGCCCACCCCTGCCCTCCCGCTCCTGGCTGGACCCATCGGCCACCCTCTCTGTCCACTGCCCTTCTGTGCTCTCTGCACACACATACACGTGTGTGGACACACAGGCGTATATGGATACTCTGAACACGCAGGTGTGTCTGCACGCGTATTCAGGAGCACGAGTGCACAGTGCACGCACACATGCACACGCGCACACATACATACGCACAGTGCACGCATACATGCACGCATGCATACACGCGCACACACACGTCTTCGCAGCAGCGGCGCCCCGGCCGTGGCCCCGCAACGTGGGTCACGCCGGGGACACCTGCGCCCGCAGCCGTGGGGAGGCGCTGCGTCACCGCCGGGCCCGGGCCGAGCTAGGCTCGGGACCGCGGGGCGTGCGAGAAAGACAGGCGGGAGCTGCCTCAATCCACTGTCTACACTGCAGGGACTGCCAGCCCCGAAACATCGATTTAAATCTTAAAACCCCGAGGAAAAGGCGGAAGGGAGAAGCAGAAGCCGGCTCCGCGGAGACTAAGGCCCGCGCTGGGGCTCGAACCCCAGGCCCATAGACGGCATACCCCCCCCCCCCTCCGCCACGAGGGTCGGAGCATGCGCAGAAGCCGAGCGGAGCGAGCGCAAGCATGCGCAGAACACGCGTAGAGCGGGCTCGGAGCATGCGCGGGTCGGCCCCACGCGCCCCAGGGCCCCCAGCACCCACAGTTCCACGCGCAGGGCCGCGTCCGGAAGTCCGTGGAGCGAATCTTCCTTCCTCGTCCTCTGATTCGCTGCCAACCACTTCCATTTCCGCAGAAAGTTCCCAGCCGTTTCCCGACCGCCCGCGAGGCGCGTCGCCGGAGGAAGTGCGCGCCGACCCTGTTTTGTTTCCGGGGGAATCTAGTTTTCCGAAGGACGCTCGGGACTTCCGGGTGTTCCTTTCAGCCTCTGATTGGCTGGTTTTATGAATATATTAGAGCATTGAAAAGATAGGTTTTTCCCGCGCAGTGAAATGAATCCCGCGATTCCCCCTGGATGCTGCGGCTCCCGTGGACGCGGCCGCTTTCCTGCGTGCGTCTGAGGAGTAAGCGCGAAGTCGCCGTAAGCGTAAGGCGGCGCGCGCGTGGGCCCTTAAATGGCGCGCGGGCGGAGGTCCAGACGTGTTGTATGAAAGGAGAGAAGGTTAGCACTCCCCTTGACAAGGATGGAAGAGGCCCTCGGGCCTGACAACACGCATACGGTTAAGGCATTGCCACCTACTTTGTGGCATCTAACCACTGTTTTTTTTGTTTTTTTTTTCCCCCTTCCGGTGGGTGTGTGACTATGTACAGGGTTGACACACGACCGCGACACACGTGGGTGCATATACACGGGTGTGTATGCAAGTGAGTATGTGGTACATTATACAGGGGCGTGTGACACATGGGTGCACATACACGGGTGTGTGTCTAGATACACGGTGCGTGATGCAGGTGGGTGTATACTTGTGATTATGTATGGGGGTGTGTGACACATGGATGCACATACACGGGTGTGTGCGTAGATATATGGTGCGTGCTGCAGGTGGGTGTATACTTGTGATTATGTACGAGTGTGTATGACATGTGGGTGCATATACACGGGTGTGTATGCAGGTGAGTATGTGGTACGTGATTATATACAGGGTTGTGTAACACGTGGGTGCGTATACACGAGTTCGTGCAGAGGTATGCAGGTGTGATACACCCGTGTGCAGTGTGCACAGACACACATGCGACTGTACCTTGGCTGTTCTTTGAGCCGCCTGGCATTTTTCATGATCAAGAGTCTCTCCACACCGGGGCAGGTGTGCCTTCATCTGCTCGTTGGCTGGGCAGGCAGTGGGTGCAGGGTTGGCGAAGGGACCCCCAGGAGGCCAGTTGGCCTACTCTACTGCGGGGCAGGCCAGGCGGGGCAGCCCAAAGGCAGGCAGACCAGATCCCGCGGGCAGCTTAAGAACTTTCCCGCTGGTCTGAAGCATCGGAGGCGTAAAGGGTTCCATCTGCTCCTCTTCAGCATCCCAGACATTCCAGACCGCTTTAAAAACCCAAAGACTTTCCGTTCAACTCACTTCGACCGTGCCCCCGAGGCTCCCACTCTACCATTCCAGAACCTCGGCCGACAAGTCGCCAGAGACGACCTCTGTGGGGTGGGCAGAGCAGGCAGCAGGCAGGGGGCTAGCATCACATCAAGGGGTCGAGGGGGCGCAGACGAAGATGCCGTCTGAGTCAGGCCCAGAGGTGGGGGATCGGCCACGTGGACATCTGGGAGAACATTCCAGACACAGGAGGAGGCAAGTGCAAAGGGGCTGAGGCCGATGCCACCAGTGTGGCCCAGAGTGGGGAGGGAGAGGTGGGGGTCAGAAGACAAGTCACTGGGCCGACGGGGACATTTGCAAGGACTTGACCTTCAGCTCCCAGTGAGGGGGGACAGGATTTCCCACCAGGGAAGGCCAGGCCGGGTGGGCTTCCAAGGCATCCCCCTGGCCGCCAGGCCTACCGCACTCCAGCTCTCAGTGCCAGCGCAGAGGGAACAAGGAAACGGGAGGATGGTCAACACCTCCTCAGAGACGCCCCAGCAAACCCAGATCGGGGGAGCCCACAGGACAGACGACTCGGTTCCCACAGACACACGGTGAGGGAAACAGGGGGCTTGGAGATTACAAAGGCCTGGGGCCAACGAGCCAGATGCAGGTGGGGGCCTTGCTGGGCCCCCAGTTCAAACCGACCGTGTGTGCACACATGCGTACATACGCATACGTGTGTATAGGTACACTTGTTAAAAGATACTTAGACAACTGGGGGAGTCTGGACATCAGATGTTTGATTCTAAGAATATTTTAGGTGTGGAAATGGTATTGTGGTAGCGCTTTTGCAGAAGCATCTATTAGAGAGACTGTGTGTTCACTTCTTGAATAATAAAATGACTGATTTATACTAAAATAACCGGGGAGGGGCATATGAAATAAGATGTTAGAAGTTTTTGAAGTTGGATGATAGGGACACGAGGGTTTTCTCCACTTTCTGTTTGAGATTTTCCATAATGGAAAGTTTCTGTTTTTAACGAACATGCCAGAAGATACTAATGAGTGGTAGGAGGAATGTGGGTGACTCCCTGTCTCTGCCTGTTTGTTTTACCTCACCGACAACTAGCACAAATACGTGACCGGACTCCCTGCCAGCGCACGCTGGCCTCCGGGGCAGTGCGACCCCTGAGCTGTCAAAGGCCACGGGAGATGCTCCCCTCAAGGTAACAGCTACACGTTAAGGAAGGTAAAAAATTCTTACGGGACAGTTACAAGACATGAAAATCTTTATTTTCAAAAAGAGAATGTACCTTTACACAAATCTACAACAGAGAATTCAAATGTAGAAAAAATAAACTCTATTCAAGGACTCGGCTCGGCACACACGGCGCCCCGTCCCGGGCGAGCTGTAACCCTGAACCAACGCGCTGCCAGCCCCTCGGCAGCCGTGAGCGGAGCCGGGCCAGCCCTGACGCCGGCACGTGGCACGGTGTTTTCCACTGATGCGCTGCGCCCCGGCCCCGGCCCGAGTGTTAGTGCTTCTAGAACGGAGACCCCACTGGTACGTCTGCTTCCACAGGAGGGGCCGGGCTGCAGGAGGCTCCTTTCCACATGCCTTTCTAACTGTCATTCTCCCCGTGAGCCGCGGGCAGCCCCTGCTTCCTCCGCCGGCCCCATCCACCTGAAGGCCGCACAGGCTTCGTCCCCTGGCTCGGCACTGTCCAGATGCCCGGCACCCGGGACCCCCGGAAGGCAGCGAGGGCTGAGCTCCAGGCTGGACCTCGGACTACAGCCACGTGCTACCTGCAAAGCCAGAGCCGTGCCTGCCCGGCCGCAGGCAGGGAACACACCTACTCCACCACAAAGGTCTCGGTGCTGGCAGATCGGGCTTGAACCCCAGGTGGCCCTCCTGCACGGAGGGGTCCCCGGGGCCTGGCAGCAGTCTAGCCCCACCCCCGCGCCCCCCTCGGAGGCCACACTGCTGAAGAGGCCCCTCTTGCAGCAGGCAGGGCTGGCCGGGTGGGCAGGGCTAGCCAGGTGGGCAGGGCCGGGGGACGACACCCACGTCCCAGACCCTCCGAAGGCTCCAAGAAGCCGCCAGCCCTGAGGTCGGCAACGGGGACGGGCACCAGCCTGTGCCCCTCAGACCGGAGCCCACCACCGGGGGCCCTCCCGCACCCCAGCCTTCACGGGCACAGGAAACAGCTGTCTGCAACATGGCGCAGGACACTCCAGGGCCGCTGGCTCCTTTTCAGCTAAGAAGGGCCACCTTGTTCCCCTAGAGTCCCCTCCTGGCCCGCAGGTACACACCGTGACCCACGGGGTCTCGTCCTCCTTGGGCTCCGGGCCTCTCGGCACAAGGAGGGAGGCAGACCATCATTCCGAGAATCTGTCTGAGAAAAAGCCTTTCAACCTGCTGCCAATTGTGAGACTTTCCATACAAATGCCAAGAACAGACAAGCTCTGCGTGAGCACCAGTGGCCACGACTGTGCAAATCCCACCTTTATTACGGCCCGGCTGCTGCCGTGCGAACACCGCGACACAGACAGGAACTAGCGCGCGCCACCACCAGCCCTCAGCACGGGGGCTGTGGACTCCCACACGCGAGGAGCCTTTTACACGGAACCACCTTACAGACACACCAGGAAACACCACCGGCAAGAACTGGCGACAGTGGGAGCCACGTCGCTAGAGCATCTACAGGCAGACAAGGGGCCCGACCACGGAGGCCGGTGGGAGAGGCCGTGTGGCCACTGGTCACAGCACTTGCACCGGGGAATAAAATAGCAAAAAAGGTACAGAACGTTTACTGGAAAAAAACACGACTCATGATAAATTGAACTTCACCCTTTGTAATAGAAAATTAAAAATTCTTGTTGACTCAGTTTGAACACAATACAGACTAGGAACTCTCCTCCAGACAGTGTGAGAGGAATTGGCAAGAAATGTCACCAGCAACTTCTAGAACTTTCTGGTGGTCGACACTCCCCTCAGCCAAATCGTCTTCAGAGGCGGCTCAAATGCAGCCCCTCCCCGACCCCCAGGGCCCGGACCGAGGGGAGCCCTCCGAGACGCCTCCCGCTTGCCAATCTGCGCCGCCCTCCTGACAGTCCTCCACGGCTCCCGCGGCCTAGCAGTCGCTCTTCCAGAGCTTAATCGTCTTGTCGTTTTCCAGCGCGGCTGAGGCGATGATGTTCTCTGTCGGGTGGCACGCCGTCGAGATCACGACATCTGAAAACACAGCCAAGAAAGTTCTCTCCTGTCAGGGGCCCTCACCTCCATCCAGGGCTGCTGCCCTGCACAGCCTGCTGGCCTAGAGGGAGGACGAGGCCTCACCCCAGCGGCCGACACCGACACTCACGGCCTTTCACCGCAACAAGGGTTCAGGGCAACTAACAGTGGCAAGTACTGTGCTGCCCGCGTGTAGAGGGCACACGGAGCCCCGGGGACACAGCAGGACGGCAGGCTGACATGACAGGGGCGTCTGGCCTGGGCTGCAAGGCCGCTCTGAGAGCATCGGTCTGTCCACACAGGGGACAGCAGCACACCCTTGCAGGCCAGCAGCGGGGTCTCCATGGAGCCACAGGAGGGGGAAGTGACCAGCGAGGTTCCCCAGCAAGGCACTGTGCGGTGCAGACGCCGCGCCCATGGCATCAGTGGCAGGGGGTCTCACTGCGTCAACACCTCACCCTCTTACACCTGGACCCAGAGCGGACGCTCCCAGCATCTCCCACCACCGAGGGGCTGGCTCTGTCACTGTGAGGCAAGTCCATCCCCCAGGCAGGACTCAGATCTCATGAGCTGGCATCTGGGGTCAGCCAGGTTAATGCATTTACACCTTTTAAATAAACTGAACCCCAGAACTTCACCTCTTCCCCATGTGGCTTCAAATAAGCACTGAAGGTCCCAGCCACACAATAGGGGACGAGGAGCAAATGAGGCCCAGGGCTGCCTGCTCCGGGTGTTAAGCCAGGCGGGCAGAAAGAGGAGCAACCATGGGGGTGGAGCGCATTCCCAGGGTGGGGAGTTCTTTTCCCGGGGCTCTCTACCGACCACAGGAGACGAGCAGGGCAGGGGGGACACGAGCAGCCTCGAGGGCAGCCAGGGCAGGGGTGGGAGGCAGCCAGTCGTGGAGGAACGGGCCGTGGCAGCCCTCAGAGCTGAGAGGCGGCAGGGAGCCGGGCCTGCCGGAGACGGGGCCTCTCGAGGGGACGGCAGACAGCCCCCTGCCTGCATGAACAGAGGTTAAAGGCACCACCGGGCCCGGCCCGCTGGGAGCTCGGACAAACCACTCAGCAGCCGCTCCCACCCGGGCAGCAACCCCCAGGCCACCAGTGGGCCGAGGAAGAAGAGGCAGAAGAGGCGGCAAACACACTGTCGGTCTGTGTCCTTCCAGAAACCGGCTGCGTGAGCCAGCAGCACGCGACCACAGGACCCGAGCTCACCTGTGTGGCCCTGCAGCTTCTGTACAATCTCCTTTGTCTGAAGGTTCCAGATGTACACCAGGTTGTCTTCGGAGCCAGACACGATCCACTAGGTAGCGATGAGGAGGGGAGACGAGGTGAGGAAAGCCAGGTCAGAGCGGCTTCGTGTGGAAGGGATGGATGGACTTAGCGCCCCACTAGCACCCGCCCTCCCGGGAGCTGCCGTGTTGAAGGGAACACACTAAGCTTCGGCCCCTCTCCGGGAAGGCCGTGTCGTCTCGCCCACCTAAGGCCCGCTCTGCCCTCCCGCCCACCAACTCAGACACGCCAGAAGCCACGCAAGTCACCAGGGAGGCTTCCGGGATGTACAATGCCGTCCTAGTCAGCATTTCCTAAGTTTTTGTGTCACTCACACTTCGGCCGAATGTCATCACCTACTCTGGTCACACCCACCTGGATGGAGTGGCTAAGATGCTCGAGTGAAGATCCAGGCAGCAGGGGACGCACGCCCCTCACCGTTGGGGTGGAACGGCCTCGGGGGACCCCAACCCAGGAGGAACAGGCTCTGAGCGGCCAGTCCCTCGGGGGAAAGCTGCGGCCCGACTTAAAGGAAGCCGACCGGTCGTCACACCCCCAGTGCGGAATCCTCGCTCCGTTAGGGAAGGGGCGGGTCAGAAGCAGACGTGAAAACATGTCCCATAACTGAGAGTCACCAAGACTTTGCGTGGTGTGACTGCATTTGGTTAAAACCCAGAAAACTGACTAGTTCACTGGGCACAGACACGTCTCTAAGCAGAGAGCCGCTGGAACGCGCGCCGCCTCTCGGGGAAGCTGGGCGGGCACTCACCTTCCCCCCAGTGACGGAGAAGTTAGCGAATATGCAGTACTTCTCGTTCTTGTGGCCGGTGTACGTCTTCAGGCACTGCAAAGGCGAGGAACAGCCTCTGTGCACAGGCACAACGTGCCTGCACCCGGACCGTCCCCGAGCTGAGTGCAGGCATCTTACAGCCAATTAAACTCAGTTCTCAAAGGCCCCTAAGAACTGACCGCACACACCCAGGCAGTCAACGCTGTAACGTGAGCCTGGCCAGCTGCAAAACCCCAAGCCTTTAAGAAATCTGCACCAAATGAACTCGACGAAGACGGCTTTCTCCGTCCTCTCTCGCCTCAGCTCCCGGCTCCGCTCTACCGCCACCACAGCCAGAGCCCAGGAGCTCCGCCCGACCCGCCCGAGCCAGCCGCCCCAGGCTCACCTTCCCCTTGCTGTAGTCCCAGAGCTTCAGCGTGCTGGAAGGCAGAGAGAGCGGTGAGTCAACAGCACCTCCGAGCCTCTCCAGGGAGGCGTGTCTGCTGTCACTGCACACCCCACTCTGCTGCGCCCACATCTGGAGCAAAACCAGGGGGCCGGAACGCCCTCACCCTCCCCAAGTGCGGGGGCCAAGCACAGCGGGGGCTCAGAGTCCACTCACTGATCTGAGGACACCCAAGAGCCCTGCATGAGAACCCCAAATGTTTGTGGTTCAAGGACAGACTCTTTCTTTTTTTTTGTTGAAGAAGATGCACCCTGAGCTAACACCTGTTGCCAATCTTCCTTTACTTCATACGTGGGTTGCTGCCACATCATGGCCGCCAACGAGAGGTATAGGTCCATGCCCAGAAACGGAACCCAGACCACTAGGCCACGGGGCCAGCCCCAAAGACAGATTCTTTTAAAGGAAGCTGCTGGGTGATCCCTAAATCAATAGCGGTCACCTCATTCCCACTAGAAAGGAACGTGGGAAGTCTCAGTTCCAGAAATATCTAGAAGAGATCTCAGTGGCAACACTCCTTCCTCCTCCTTGGGCAGGAATTTTCTCGTCCCACAGGGGGCTGATGGTGGAAAGGGCTGACCATGCAGCCCTCTGACAAGCTCGGGACCCAGGCGAGGCCCCAAAGGGCTGCCTGAAGCGGGCACGGGGAAGCCGAGCTCACACGAGCTCCCAAAGGAGTCCCCAGTCTGCGCGACGGTGAACTCTGCTCTGAAGTCTGCAGGGGGAAATCGAGGTGCCCAGGGCAGAACCAGAAAGCACCTGAGGCCCCAGGAGGACGGGGGCAACGGCTGCCCTGGCCACACAGTCACCATGGAGAAAACTAGAAAATCTTCAGACCCAAGATCTGGCCCCCAGCAAAGACAGGGGCCCCCCCGTCCAACATGGTGTCTACATTCCGGAAGCCTAAACCCAGCAGGAGTCTGGATCGCGTACTGGGCATAAACATCTTTCAGGAAGTTTCCTACTGGCAGGAAATGGGCGTCCCAGCAGCTCAGCGAGGCAGCAGGACCCCCCATGGGAGGTAAGAGGGCTTACTTGTCCAAGGTGGCGGCCAGGATGTACTTGCCATTCGGAGAGAACTTCACAAAGGACACGGGAGGGTTGTCGTCATCTGCATTGGAAACAGAGATGGGCTGAGACACGGGGTGCTTGGGCCTCTTGCCCAAGGACGGAGGAGAGAACAGACCCCATCACCACGCAGGACTATCCGAGTGAGGCCACTGCCACCGGTGCCAACACCACCACCCTCAGACGGAGTCCCCAAGGAGCCCGGACAGCTCCCTTCACCCGTCACGAGAGCTGGTTCTCCACGATGCTTCTCAAGCCCAGGGCTTCGTGGGCCCTTGACAGCGGCTCAGCGACGGCCCCCCAAATGACACAAGGGCTACGTTTAGGAGAAAAGGGCCTGCAGCCACTCACTCAAGCTGCCCGGCCTCCGCCAGCACGGGGTGTGTGAGAGACTCAGGACCGCCTCCCTCACATGAAACCAAGTTTGCAAATACCCAGCTGAACCGAGAAACTACTACCACTACGAGAAGAGTGACTGGGGTGAATAATCTCATGTTTTCTTGTTACCCAGTTACAACAAAAGTTCCTAAGTTCTCTCTAGAAACAAACGTTATGACACTGAGATTCCGGGTCTGAACGCTTCCCCCGGCAGCCCTGGGAGTGCAGGTGAGAGGCGCCGTCGCGGTTAAGGAGAAAAGGAGCCGCACTCCCAGAAGGCGCCCACAGAGGTCACTCCGGGACGGTCCCAGGAGGCTCACGGTCCCAGGAGGCTCACATCGGGAGGAGTGCACTTCCCTGGCCCGGGCGGGAAGGAGAGTCGGGTGGGCGTGCACCTCGGTGTGGGAGCAGGGGGCCAGTGTGTCAGGAGCACCGGGGAGGGCGGCACCCCGCATTACCACCGCGAGGGACCTGGGCCTGGCCACTGCGCACTGGGGGCCTCCGCACCCTCCGACTGGTCCCAAACACTGCAAAGGCACGAGAAGGCGTGAGGCCGCGCAGGGCCCTCCGCGGGTCCCAGCCCACAGCAGGAAGGCAGGCACCCGAACAAGGTGAGGGAGTGCCGACAGAGTGCCAAGCCAGCTCCGTTAGACAGCGTCCCTGGGCCCTGTCTCCCGGAGCCCAGCAAGTTCTAGTCCCCCAGACCTGAAATTAGAAACGATGGGAACACCGCCACCCACCACCCTTCCTTCCGGGAGCCGCTCAGGTCCTGGCCCAGCGTGTGCTTGCTGCCGGCCTTGGGCTCGTTAATGAACCTCTCGGGGTCTCAGTCTCCCACCCAGCTGCCGGGTGGCAGTGTTGGCGTGAGTGACTTTCCCGCCAGCAGAGGTGGCTGCACCAGGCCTCTGGGGAGAGATGCTGTGACACAGTGCAATGTCACTGTCTGAAGTAAGGACGCACCTCAAAGGGTGGCCTCGTAAAACAAGACCAGGAAAGCCACTGTGAGGGGCTGCCCTGCATTCCACGGGACCGGCGTCATTTGTAAGGAGAAGAGACGTGGACAGCGGGGCGCGGGCAGGGGAGTGACCGTGTGAGGACACCTGAGGGCCGAGGGGAGGCCTCAGGAGGAAGCAGCCCTGAGGCACCTGCCCCGGGACCTCCAGCCTCCAGCCTGCAGGGAGCACGCTTCTGAGGCTAAAGCGCCGGCCTGCGGCGGCATCGTGGCAGCCGAGCAGACCGCGCTCCCAGGACAGCAGAGAAGAGAGACTCAGGAGGGACGCCTCCTCAGGCGTGCCAGCTCCCACCCACAGCCCCACTCCCCTATTCCCTTCTCACATCCAGGCACGGGCTGGACGTGACCCAGGCGGCTACAGCGACCCCACATTCAACCCAAAACTACCAAGGACCTTCCAGGCTGGCTCGGTCCAGGCCGACAGGAGGCGGGCAGCCCTCTCCAGCAGCAATGCCCCCGATTCAAACCTTCCAGGGCTCCCGCCCTCCCCATCGCCTGCCCCGGTCCGAGGCCCTGCAGGCCCATCGCCCACCCTCTGGCCACCCACCCTCCACGCCCGGCAGCACCACCCGCCTGCCCAGGCCATGCTAAGTCTTTCTGCTCCATCACACCCCCTGCCCAGAAACGCCCTCCCCTGCTCATCCCCAAGGCACAAGCCAGATTCCGCCTGCCAGGCCTTCCCCCCGGGCCCCTCCACACCCACGTCCAGGGCACCCCCAGCAGACGCGGCTCCACCACATCTGCTCAAGGAATGATCTGAGGGGACAGCCCCGAGGCCGGGCAGGAGGACCGAGGGTCAGCCCAGCGCAGGCGGAGACTCCAAGGGGCTCAGAGTCCTTGAGAGGACGCTGGGGGTGGATGGCCAGGGGCCCCACCAGCCCCCAGCAGGAAGCAGCTGGTGGGCAATGGGAAGGGTCAGGAGAGGAGGAGGGCTCCTCCCAGAATTGAGGACAACAGGGAAAGGGAGGCTTCCAGAAAACCTCCGAAGATGGAGGGCTGGAAAGAGCACAGGAGGAGCCCTCCAGAGCCCACGGAGCGACTGCGACTTGGAGGAGACATCACCCTGGAAGCAAGAGCCGGCACACTCACCGATGAGCGTCTTCAAGCACTGGCCTGAGGCCGTGTCCCAGATGCGACTGCAAAGCAAATAAGAAGGGGTGTTCAGAAAGCGAGTGACTGCGAGGGGCTGGGCGTGTGCTCCCTGAACGCAAGCTTTCGGGCTGACACACGTCTTCTCAGTTCATTTGTTTCACTGTTACGCTTCACTCATTTATTCCACAATTATTCTGACATTCCAGGACCAGCATGGGCACCATACATGCATGTGCGCGCGCGCGCGCACACACACACACACACACACACACACAAGCACGGGGCACGCTTTAGCTCCTCTTCCACGAGGAACACCACACACACACACACACACACACACACACAAGCACGGGGCACGCTTTAGCTCCTCTTCCACAAGGAACACGTCCCCCACACAGATGAAACAGGAACAGAGACACAGCTCGCCCCCCTGCCTTGGCCACAGTGGAGGGTGCTGGCCAGCTCACGGTCCCCTTGCAGGTCCCTCCACGTGCACACAAACATTCCAAGCACGTGGTCACTCAGGGGGTATGTTCTTCCAAAGAGCGGAACGTCACACGCAGTTTTCTGGACATTCCTCTGGTTCAGCTGCAAGAGAACCTACTCCCGTCTTCGGATCACGGCCGCTGACCAGGGCCCACCCTCCACAGCAGATCCCAGCAGTGCGGGCACCGGGGCGAAGGCTGTGCAAATCGTGATGGCAGCAGAACCAACAGATGATTCTCCAAGTGTCATCGCCACGTTGCCACATCTGTTCCTACGCGTCTTTACTCGGGATGGGATCCCCTATCACTGGCCAGTGCGATGGACCTCTTAACTCCCTGACTACCAGGAGGGGTCTTTTCGTGCCTGCTCTGGGAACAGCTTCTCCGGCCAGCCAGCTCCCACATCGGGGAAGGACTCCAGGTGCCGGGCACCTCACCCCGTCTCTCCTCCACAACTGCGTGCTGGGTCTGCAGAGTGGCTGTACCCCAGGTGTGGACACCGAGGGACAGCCCCTGTCCTTGTGCTGTTCGTCTTCTCGGTTCCCCGGCACACAGCTCAGTTACCCTCCTCCGTGAGTTGACTTTCCTTCTATGCAGGTGCAGAAACGCCGGGAGGGCTTCTAACGGAACTGCCGACAGTCTGCCAGCCTCGCAGACCGACCGCCGCCACCAGCACGCCACATGTGCCCGCCACACGCGCCCGCCGCGGCCCTGCCGTCGCTGCTGCGGCCCTGCGGCTGCACTGCACCACTTTCTCCCCGGGGTCCCGCTCCTGGTACACTTGTCCCTAGGTGCCCGAGCCTTCCGTCCCTGTTACGTGGGGAACTTCTTTCCCATCCCTAACTGTAACTCCTGGTAAAGAGAAAACTGTCTGTTTTCAAACACCTGGCCAAATGCCAAGTCACACTGTGACCAGCAGGCCCGGGGTTCAGAGCCCGGACTCTGGAGCTTGAAGTCACTTCCCGCCGACGGACAAGGGCCAGTGCTTATCCCTCCCTCAGTGTCCCAGCTGAAAGTGGGGTTGACAGCAGACCACCCACATCACAGGGCTGTTACGGGGGCTAACGAGTGGATATTTGTAAAGCACGTATCAGTGGTTTTAAATTTTGAAAACATACAAATATATCACCTACAAAGAGAGAAACCTCTATCCAGTCTCTACATAATTACTTCTGCTTCATCAAATTAACTAGAAACTCCAAACACTGAACAGAGGCAACGGCACGCCCTGCTCCCGATTCTCGTAGAAGCGGTCCCAGTGTGACTTCACTCACGATAGAGGTCGTTTCCGGTAAACAGTCCGCAGCGCTGGCCCGTTTTGCTAGCGCTGTTATTAGGAATGGCTGCTGGGTTTGATCAGGCGCCTGCCTGGCCTCCACTGGGAAGAAAGAGCCCGGACGCTTGCCTTTAACTTGCTGGTGCGGGTCATGAGATTGCGGCTCCACTGGGGCTCCTTGTGTCAGCACAGTCCTCTCACTGGTCAGGAGACCCACCTGTCACGGAACACTGCTGGCCGGTGCACTGCTGGCCTCACTTTGCTCACAGCTTCTCTGGAATTCTGACATCGCTAGCCACGGGTGACGGCTCCTCTGTGGGCCTCCTCTCAGACCAGCCACCAAGCTTGGGGAGGACGGTCACGCTAGACCCGTTAAAGGAACTGGGGGCTCCCTCCCCGTCTTGTTCTGTGGTCGCAAGAGTCTCACCAGCCCTAGCACTTTGTTATTTAACTGAATTCCAGCGTGGAATCCTCAGGCCTGGTATCTCAGACCTCCATCACCTTTTCCCACCCCTCCCCTGGTGACTGGTCCTTCAGGCTGCCCGTCCTCAGCCCATTCCAGAAACAGGGACCAGCCCGCTGGTGCAGGCGGGCTGCTCCTCGTCCTCCCCTGGAACCCGCCGCTCCCAAGCCCTCTCTCTATCGCCGTCCTGCTCATTCCTGTTCTTCATCCTCATTTGGGCTTATAAAGGCTAACCTCTTTATTGGCCTTACTGAGAACACAGCTCACTTTAACTTTGCTATTATTTTCCCCTTTCTCCATCTTTTAACTTTATGAATTTCCTCCTCCTCCTTTATTCAGTATGCTTTTTCTTTCTCTAATTTCTTTAGGAAGCTTCGGAGCCAGTCCACAAGCAACTCTGAGACCTCGTGCTCCTAGGAGAACGCCCAGTCTCTGCATACACAACACGCTCTCCATACGCAGCAAACACACGCCTGGGGTGGCACTCAGACCCGCTAAGGCCCAAGTCCTCTTCCGTCACTTTTCTAAGGGCAATGCACCGAATCGCTCACAGGAAATGTCAGTTCTTCTATTTCCAGTTTCACTCGGTATCTCTGGCCTGCTATGTTGCTTGGTGCACGAAGATTTCCAATTCTCAGTCTTTTCATCAAATCTGCCTGGTTCATTACATGTAACTCTCTCCCTGGTTAATGCTCTGTCTTTCACATTCCACTTAAGCTCACACTGCTCTCTGCTTTGTATGGACCGACATCGTCTGCCCGTCCTTCTATGTCAAACCTTTACTAACCACTTAGTTTAACATCTTTCCTGAAAACAAGAGTCAGAAGAATTTTTTAACCCAAACCTGACAGCCTTTATAAGGGTATCAGCCAATGTGGCTACGACCGTGATACCTAAGACAGTATGCTCCATTTATTCCATAGCATTTTTACAGGGAGTATTTATGGCACTCTATTTCCGCTTTCTTATACTTTTGCTAAGCACGGACCCATTTCTAGTCGCACTTCCCTTCTCCCTGGAACAGGAAAGTCCTCCTCGGGTCAGTTCAGCCGGGGGCCGTGCCAGACCCTCTCCTCCCAGGAACCAAATGGGGCGCGGAGCCAACCCCGCCAAACCCAAACCCAACCCAACGCTTCCCACCCACGCCCACCCACCACAGGTCCTGTGAGTTCAGACCAAGACATTACTTCTGCATTTCCCGTACGCCTCGTAGCGAATCCTGAACACTTACGCCACAAACGCAGGCTTTCGAGAATCTTCCATTTAGACTAAACTGGATGTTCTGCACAAGACCGTGTGCCCTCTTCCTCCTCACCGTCCCCAGGAGGGGATTTGCTTTGCTTCACCTGCTCAGGATGCTGACATTTCCTCAACAGGACCCGAGGCTGGTACACTCAGAATCCTCACATGTCAGTACCGCCGCCGTGAGCTTGTGAAGAGAGCCTGAGCACTTCCGGGCCGCAAGGAGCTAAGTCCAGCACAGAAGCGCCTCGCTGGGCCCCGCCTGGGGGCCTCCCTGTGACAGGAGCCCAGCCTCCCAGCCACACTAAGCCACTACCCTGCTCTGTCCTCCTTCCTAACATTGTCACCACCTGACGTTGTGCTGTGTGTCTGTCGATCTGCCCGCAGCCCCTGCTGCAGTGGAAGCTTCTTGAGGATAGAGACTTCTGTCCCTTTTCCCACTGCTATAGCCCAGGAGGCCCAAATAACAGAACGCGGGGCCTTTAATAAATATTTGCTGACTAAATGCAGCAAATTTTTTTCACTTACCAGAGACCATCGTAGCTACTTGAAACTATCAAGGATCCATCACGATTAAAATGAACCTGAGAATGAAGAGGGGGAAGAAACTTACTTTTAAATCATCAACACAGATTGCTTCCTACCTGAGCGGCCCTCCTGTTCACGCACACTCACGACAAGACGTGTGGCACATCTTGCTTGCATCCTGAGCATGCAACAGAACCATCATTTGCTTTAAATTCTACTGATTTCCTGAAGACACTGATAGACACACACAAGCAACAGGGGTAAAATGATCATTTCCACCTGGCATTTCAAGCAAGTCACTTTGTTTTATGACGGATGATGGAACCATAAAAAGAAAACAACCTTGAAACGCGCCTTGGGTAGGTAAAGCACTGACTATGACATGTATTTTCGAGAGGAAAACACAACCAACCAACCCATACACCCATACACCCAGACCCACCAGCTTCCGAGAGCCTCTCTGAATCTGCCGCTGCTGTGACGGCAGCCTGCCCAGGGCAACGTGGCTAAAATACCTCCGACTTCACATGAAAAAGGAAATAAAAATCAGGAGATAAGAACCCATGTATTTAGTGACTTCTATAAGAATGGACTGCGATGCCTTCTCACTCAGGTGTCCCTGCCCGCTGACAGCCAAGAGCCGCTCCAAGCGCACAGCCACTCATCACTGGCAAGGTTCACTCTGGGAAGCTCGAGCTTCCCAGAGGGACAGAAACAAGATCTGGGCTGCTCCACATTCATGCCTCGCAACAGCAGTGACCCCTAATCTGCTGCTGGTCCCAGAAGCTGACCTACGATGTTTCCCCACAGCTCCTTTCATCTGGAGGCTGGCCGCTGCCCGCCGTGGGGAAAGGCGACATACGCCCGATGAAGACCCAAGCTGACAAGCCCTCTCGTACTGCGGCATCTTTGGGTTTTTCTTTCGTCCAGTTGAGTCTCGGTGGGAATAACAAGAACCGCCGTCAGGAGCTAGAGTCCATCGCAGATTCCGATCATTTCTATTTGAGTCCGGGCAGATTCTACCAGGGAGGAGCCTTTCCATGACAAGGAACACCTGTAGAAATGCTCTTGTTTCCCGCTACGTGTGATGCATCTCTTCTATGAACCTGAGCCACACAGAGGAGCCCCTGGGTCAATCACTTGGGGACAGGGCGGAGGCCGTCTGTCTGTCTCGGCCGTTCAAACCAGCGTCTCCACCTCGGCACTACTGACATTGCAGTCACGGTTTTCTTTGCGATGAGGCTGTCCTGTGTAGCAGCACCCCTGTCCTCGACTCAAGAGACGCCAGTAGCACCTAGTTGTGACAACCAGACACTGCCAGACATCCCTGGGGGCAAATCCACCCGCACCAGAAGCCCGAGGGCTGGTGAGACTGGCTGCCAGATGCCGAGAACCTGCACTTCTCGCACCCCAGCGGGTGCTGATGCTCTGGTCCGGGGCCCAGGGCCAGAGATCCACTGGTCTAGACTCTCAAGGAGCACTGTGAGACACATAGCTAACTGTAAATTTTCTGGCAGCTGCCACAGAAAAGTAACAGGTGAAACTAACAACAGATTTTATTTAACTCAATAGATCTGAAATACTATTTCAATATGTAGTCAACGTTAGAAATTATTAGCAAGATATTTTACCTTCTTTTTTGTTGAACTGAATCTCTGAAACCTGAAAGCGTATTTTACACCAGCAGCTTGTCTCAATCAGGCTGCACTCAAGTGCTCGCTGCCACACGCGGCCAGTGGCCTACAGGCTGGACAGCGAGGCCCCAGAAGATCCAGGGGCTCTCCAGCAGACATGAGAGGCTTCTGTAGTTTTATTCTGTTCCCACCAGCTGTACTGACAGGAGGCTCTTGCAGTGCCAGCTACTTCTCTGTAGCCACGTCTTCATTAGCCTCTCAAAGCAATTTTCCTTATAACTCACAGCAATCAACCTAACCACATTCATCTCCTTCTTTGAATTTGCAGAATATTCTTTTATCAAGGGCACTATGCTAGACGACAACGAATCAATATGGGTCCCCAACACCTGCCACAACACCCTGCAATGCACACTACGATGCTCTCCTCTGTGCCACAGCCCAGTATCACAAACGCAGCACGACTTCTCCATTCGACCAATGCTCAGGCGTGAGAGGGGCAACATGGCCCAGACAGTACATCCTAGAAGACAGCCAGAAATGTAAGTGCTGCGAAGAAACAAAACAGGTGACGAGACAGAACCTCACGTGGATGCTGAGACTCCACTCAGGTGAGCAGGCACTCGGAGCTCGCAGCGGGGGTGACACCTGGTGGCCAGATGAGCTCACGCAAAAGCACTGAGGCAGGAAGCAGGGGTGAATAAGGAAAACCAGAGGCCGTGAGGCGGTGGCCAGGGAGCGAGGGGTGCGGGATGAGACGGACAGGACTTCAGGTAAGAAGCTGACATGGGAGGAACAGGACAATGGCTGGATAAAGTGGGAGGAAGGACAGAGATGGGAGGAAATCAGCAGAGTACTGACAGACCTTGAGGCTTCTAGCTCCAAGACATATCCATGAGAAAGCTCCACGTGCATACCCTGACAACAGTCCCCTTCCAGAATTCATGCTGCAGAAACCATCACAAGTAGGCAAAGCTGTCCCCATGAACATGTTCACGGCACTCCTTTTAGTAAAAGCGAAGTTACAAACAAGCATCAGGGGGACAGGCAAACAGCGTCAAGCACCACACGGGGCACCAGCGCGAGAGGTCCCGGCACCGCGGTGGCGTTATGCGCACTGACCCGGCAGGCGCACGACAAGCAGCTGCACAACGGTGGCTGGTGCAGCGTGAGCACCACCACTTAAGAGGAGGGAGGGAGGCTGGAGAACCCGTCTTTCCAGACCGAGCGCACCGGCGGGGAGGCTCCAGCTGCACAGTCGACCCTGCAGGGAGGCGGCTCAGGAGACTCCGCTTCTCTACTTGCAACATCTGCTCGCCTTTTTTTAATGAGCACACGCTACTTTTTTTTTGTTTTTTTTAGATTTTTTTTTATTTTTTCCTTTTTCTCCCCAAAGCCCCCTGGTACATAGTTGTATATTCTTCATTGTGGGTCCTTCTAGTTGTAGCATGTGGGACGCTGCCTCAGCGTGGTTTGATGAGCAGTGCCATGTCCATGCCCAGGATTCGAACCAACGAAACACTGGGCCGCCTGCAGCGGAGCGCACAGACTTAACCACTCGGCCACGGGGCCAGCCCCAAGCACACGCTACTTTTGTAAGAAACAAAGACTAAGCTGCCACCTCCAGAGATCCCTGACCACTGTAACTCAGACAGAACTGTCAACTCACGGCCGTCACTTCAATTCCTTTCCTGGTCACTGCACGCGTGTCCATCTGCATGCCTGTTTGAAAGCGCCTCTCTGAGTGTAACTCCACCCTGGAGGGCAGCCGAGCGACAGCACGGGGTCAGGCCAGCCCGTGAGCACACCACCGCGGAGTGCCAAGCGCCCTATCCACAGCAAACCACCCCCTCCGAGCCCCGAGCACTGGCGGGGACGCTGGCTCACTGATGGCTGTGCCCAAGGGCCAGAACTCCATGAGCCACTTGAACCAGCACATAGTACGTGTCCTCTATGTATCAGGGCTCTGCGTACGGTCTCAGCCGGGCAAAAACGGCCTTGTGAGGCTGAGGATGCTTAAAACTACTCTCCTACACGATCTTAGAAAGGGAAAGGACCGTCTGCTCTGTAACAATCAACAAGCTGTTTACACACGATTTCTCCTACTTTTCAAAAGGCAAACTTGGCTAAGAAACAACCTCAGGCTCTTTACTTAACAAAGAGAGGAATATTCTGGCCATTTTTTAATGGAGCAATTTAGGATACTGTGTATTGTTTATCCCTTATACGTTGATTTTGCACACTGACCACATCCGCGAAATGGCAGGACGCGGAACACAGGTGCAGCACGCTCCCAGGGCTCCACCTCACCCATGACCGGTCGTTCCGACCTCCTCTACCCCCGACCCCACCAATCAAGGTTAATGCCACTCAGAACTTACACCGCACCGCAGCCACACTCCCTATGCACGGCTCCCTCTTCCAGGCCTGGCCTCCCTACCTGTCCGGTAACATTCGGTTCGGGGACGCCTCCCCTGGCGCCGCACCCACCTGTGCTTCCACGAGCACAGTGCTGTGAGATCTCTCGGGGTCCCCGTGCCCACTCTAGACTGTCGCGTGAGCATCAAGAGCTCGGCTGGACGCCGGCCACGCGGACAGGTGGGAGGGACTTACAGCTGAGACTGGATCCGAGTGCGCAGGTAGCGTCTTGAGGCACTTCCCCGTCTTCACGTCCCATATCCTCACACTTTCATCAAACTGAAGACAGAAAAAGAGATCAGAGCACTTCCACGGGGAGGAGATGAAACGGCAGACCCTCCGGAACCCAAACTGGCTACCACCACCCCGCGATCCCCCATGAACAGCGCTGAACGACCGGCAGCTCATCAACCACGCCCGACGGTGCTGCACAGCGAGAGCGACGGCCACTCCCACGCCCCCACCGCTCCCCATGGGAGCGCGGTCGGCGCCCTTACCGAGCCTGAGACGATGAGGTTGGACTGGGGGTTGAAGTTACAGCAGAAGACGTAATTACTGTGGCCCTTCAGGGTTTTCAGACACTTTCCCTAAAATAAAGAAAGGTCAGAGTCATTCCCAGTGATTTCCCCAAATACCGCATCAGGCTAAACGCATCGAGACCTAACCCACAATAGCCTCAAAACACGTCTGACATCAAGCGAGGCCGTCCAGTGACCTGCTGGTCCCCAAGCTCAACTCAGTCTCACTCTGTGTCCCTTCTCCACCCGTGTCCCTCCTCCTCCTTCCCCGGGAGGGAGACCCGTAGCGTGGCTTACCGAGCTCACATCCCAAATCTTTAGGGTTTTATCATCTGAGGCAGAAACAAGGAGGTTAGAATCAGACGACCAGGCCACATCTGATATTCCCTGAGGAGAAAACACAGTCACCACCTTGATGGGACAAAATAAGACTAACCAGCAAATCCCCAACATCCTCTAAAGATACATCAGCATGTCAGTCTACTCTCTAGCTCACTCGTGCTGACCACACAGAGGACATGCCACATGCTCCCCAGAGGACAAGCTTCTCTGTGGGGCCTTGCAGTTGGGCAGAAACTCATCTATGGAGGTCAAAAGTGTTTGCTTAAGACACAAGAGGCAAATAACCACCAAAAGATTGTAGGGAAGGGGGCTGGCCCAGTGGCGTGGCAGCTAAGTGCATGCACTCTGCTTCAGCAGCCCAAGGTTTGCAGGTTCGATCAGGGGTGCGGACCTACACACTGCTCATCAAGCCACACTGTGGCAGCATCCCACACACAAAACGGAAAGTTTGGCACAGATGTTAGCTCAGGGACAATCTTCCTCACCAAAAGAAAAAGATTCGGGGGTTGGAGGAGGGACAGACTTACTTCCATCTTAACCTGACAAGCCCTGGAGATGGGCCCTGACCCCCCAGATTACTGGAGCTGCACTCTCCAGCATCTTCAGTGCTCAGGGCAGAAACCTACCAGCTTGTGACCAGATATGGTTTTCTCAAATTTTCCGTCATATGCTCCCCAAATTTTAATGAGTTTATCTGCAGCTGAAACAAAGAAGAAGGAACTGAGGTTGTCCAGTCATCCAGAGTCCAAGATCTGGGCCTTCCCACAACCTGAGCCCCGGGAACTGTGTGACTCACTCAGGAACCCTAAACACATGTCACCACAGGGAACAGCCAGTCCCCAGGCATCGGCCACCAGAACCTGCCCCTCTCCCCCAGGGCCCCGTCATTTCAGTGGCGATGGGCACAACTTCAACAGGCAGTGACTTCCGTACAGTCAGACACTCGCCCGCCGCAGCGACCCCGCAGCAGCGTCAGAAGGCAAGCCCTCCCGCTGTCCCGGGCCTCCTGTCGCAGCTCAGACTGCCGCCTGCAGCAGCCGAGGTCCCAGCGGTACCTACACGAACTTGCCAGCCACTCCCCGTTCGGGCTGAATTTCACGGAGGACACAGCTTTCGTGTGGCCAGCCAAGGTGAATTTTAGAGCATAGTTTGGTTTAACAGGTGTAGGCTGTTGAAGAGATAGTACAAGTCAGCAAAAAGTAACCCCCACTGTCCACGTCAACCGATGACCAGTTTGGATTTGAATGCAAGTTCAGCCCTGTCTCATGCGCCCCAGATCCCAATTTCAGGTGCCGGCCAGAACTTTCAGTCTGTGTGTCACCTTTCAAACCGAACAAATCTAAACGTGAGTTCATTATTTCCCCTCAAAACCCTGCTTCTCCCGTAGCCCCCACCTCAGCGTCACAGCTCCACCATCCTAGCTGGAAACACCAAGGACCCGCCGGGTGATGCCGGAAGGATCATCTGACCCAGCCACCTCACAGAATACCCACCAGCGCTAGCCCTGGTTCCGCACCCCCCCACCCCACACCCCCAGGGCAGCCTCCCCCAGAGCGAACCTGCACCCTGCTATCTCCAGGCGGGGCTGCAAACCCACCCCAGCATCGGAACTGTGGGCTAGGGTGGGGGGGGGGCTGCTTAATACATGATGTCTCTGGGTCCCACAGAGACTCCTACGGTCAGCACGGAGGATCTACATTGCCGATAAGCCCCGCCCCAGGGGACAGGTCTGAGGATCCCCGACATGCCACATAACAAGCATTGGTGTGGGATATGGTCAATGAATAAACAATGGCAATGTTTAACTGAGGAGGGAAAACAGACCCATGGACTTCAAATGATATTTCTAAGACTCTCCCAGCCTGTGTGCCCCGGCTGTTCCCCAGGAGGCCTCAGGGCTGCACCTTGCTCTGCGTGGCCGAGGAGGAAGGCGTGGGCTGTGCTCTGGCGGCCTCGGTCTCTGGCTTCTTCTCCTCCGTTGCCATGGCTCTCAAGTCCACGGGCAGGGAGACAGGGAGACGCCGATGGAGGAGTCCACAGCTCCGAGTGGAAGGCTCACAGTGGAAGAGCTGTCTGGGAATCGAAACCTACAGCGGGGGACCGAGGCCAATAAACAAACCATGTTTGAAAAAGTAATTTCCAGGAAAAGGATTGAGAAACACTTGACCGCCTTGCTGAGCTCTGTAGCAGACACACTGTTCCAAACTGAGGCACCTATTAACCTACCGCCACGCTGGTACTGCTCAGATGCTAGGATCCCCTGCTCTTTCGTCATCTCAATCAAAGACCCCACCTTCAAGGGTGCTTCCTATTCTTCTACCCACGTGTCTGAGGAATGCAGCGCAGTCCAGGCAAACAATATGCCATTTTCTTCGAAGAACCCTTGATGCATTAAAACAAACAAAGCAACCAAAGGCTTCTAATCAGGAAGCGAACACGCCAATTACAGGAGACCGAGCTGCAGAGTGTAGAAGTTTGGGAACCCATCCAAATCCTCAAGAGCACCCCAAGTGATGCAACAGTGCTAGCAGCCACGTCGGAAAATACAAGAGCTTGCCCCGGAGGCCCACACCTCCTGGGGGCTCCGCTGTCACCATGTACAGGCTGCAGGCACAAGGCTGCTTCCAGAATTCAAACAGCTCGAAGGGCTCTCTGTCCCTGGTGAGAAAACTACAAGACACAGCTGAAAAGCACAAACCCGAGGCCGCCCTGCCTGCAGGAGTGCCCCAGTGTCGCCGTCCGTAGCAGCAGCCTGAGGATGCACGGATGCTCTGCAAACAACACTCACGCAGAGGGGAAAGACGCGGCTCACGGGCTTCAGTGTGGCAGTGGGAACGAGCCCAAAGCTGCACAGTAAGTGACCAGCTTCCTCATCACAGGAACAGAGAATACATTCCTCCGATATATCTCACAGAAGCACACCAGGTGATTCTGAACCCAGGGAAGCGTTATTCAAGAGGAGAGCCACCAAGCCATTCTCGCAAATATCATTGGCCACCCAACTCCTGGAAACGAGCGCACAACCCGTAATCTAACCAGTTTACACACTGTAAACCCTAGTTGGAGCTTAAAACTGAAAGCTTGCACAGGCTCCTTGTCACACCAAGGTGAAATGGAAGCCGTCAAAATACAGCACCTCTCAAAGTCTTAATCCAAGAGGAAGGAAGAGAAACTACAATGCAACAGTCTGTGCAGAGCACACGTGCAGCCACAGCTGACTACCTGCAGCAAGGATGCTGGGCCCAGGGATGGATCCTGCTGCACCCAAAGGCCGAGTCCTGAAGTGGGGGAGGGGAGGGAAAGGCCGGGTAAACCTGCCAGGGACGAAGTGCCGGCACAACGCTGATGTTCAGAAAACGCTAGCCACTTGGTGATTATCTTTAATACAACCAGGCTGTGCCAATTAACCCAAGTGCTGCCTGCCCCTGGGTGGGCTGGATGAGCAGAGGGAGAGAGGAGCTGGAAAGTCCATTTCACAGAACCTAAGGTGTGAGGAAGCCAGGCCACGGCAGAGGCTGAGAGAAGAGTGGCCCGTGGCCGCCAAGCGGAACACCAGTGGGAACAGAAGAGGCCTCTGCAGGAGTCAAAAGAACAGCTCAGGGGGCCCAGAGCAGCTCCTTTTAACGTAAAAATTGAGACCCAGCAGGAGGTGAGGTGTGACTCCTGCAAACAACTGGCTGCCCCAGATGCTGCCCCAGGTGAAGACCACAGGATACAAGATGGTCCAGCAGAAAAGGTGCCCGACCCCTCCCAGCTCAAGCGCCATCCCAGGCGAACAAACAGGAACATGCAGAAAGAGGCTGGACTTTTAAGAACACAACCTCTCAACTCAGCGGCCCAAGATTCTACTTAAGAGAGAAGGGGGGCTTGGCATTTTTCATCAACACTCATGATTCCGTGGAACAACCGTTTGTGAGACAAGTGGGAAGCTGGTTAGGGACCAGCTCCTTAGGAAGGAGAACTGGAGAAGGTGAACACAATCAGGCTGCGGGAAAGGTGACCTGGAGTCGGCCCCCAAGGCACGTGCTACCTGGCCCCTCTTGGCACCCACAGGCTCTCACCCAGGTGAGCCTGACCACCTAAGGCCGAGCCTCCCAAACCTCGGAGTGCTCTCCTGGACTGCTTGCAAAATGCAGAGTCCTCGGCTCCAGCCCCGAGACTGAGCCCACAGTGTGGGAAGACAGGAGGCAACGGTGACTCACAGGAGGCAGCCCCACAGAGACTGGGGGAACCCGGGTCTCCCCACCTCGTTCTGGGACACGCAGACACGCCTCCGTTCCAGCTTACCTGTCTGCCTTCTAGGCGACCGGACCAACCTCAGAGGTAGTGTGGACACAGCACCTGCCGGAGCGTCGGTGAACAGACCTGGGGGGCAGAAACGGGATGAGAAGGCTAGGAGGGAGGCAGGCTCCTTCATATCCCCTAAAATGGCTCTCGCACACCAGACTGGAGGTGACGTCTCCCTTCGCGACGGCGGACCGGCACCCGGGGACCCCGGACTCCCGGCAGCGAGGGGGCCTGGCTGCCTCGGGCCGAGGGTGGGCAGCAGGTCGGTGGGGGCGTCTTTGCAGAGGAGGCGGGCAGGCAGGGGTCCGGGCAGGGGTGGTCTGGGGCGGGTCTGGGGTCTTTCTCCGGAGGAGCGGCGGAGGCACAGGGGAGATGGACGCCGGCTGCAGCACCAAGCCGCCGTCCGGCCTCGGGCGTGTCACCCACGACAGGGAGGCGCAGCCGGGGGCGGCCGCGCGTCCGGGCGGGCTCCGGGGCAGGGGCGGGGCCGGGAGCGGCGGGGAGGAGGCGGCGCGGCGGCGGGCAGCGGCCGTCTACACGGGGGCCGGGGCCGGGCCGGCTTGGGGCCGGGGCCAGGCCCGCGAACACGTGCGGCGGTGGGGCGACGAGGGGTGCAGCGGCGCCGGCCCGCCCCGCGCCCCGCGCCCCGGGCGTGCCTACCGGCCAGGCGGCCACCTTACCTCCGGGCGCTCGGGCGTCTCGTCGGCCGCCGCCTGGGCGGGAGCCGGGCCGAGCTCGACGAGACGGCGCGGGGCTGGCAGTGCGCGTGCGCGTGCGCGAGGGGCGGGGCGGCGTCGGGGCGGAGCGAAAGCACAAAGCCGGCCTCTCGGAGGGGCGCTACGGGGAGCGGCGAGGAGCAGAATGCCTCGGGCAGGCCCAACGCCTTAAAGGGACTGTGTGCTGCGCGCGCTTCCTGCTTAAAAGCGTGAACCCCCAAGGTGGCCGGTGCGGGCTCTTCTTCTCCTGCAAGTCCTAAAAACGGAAGTAGGATGATATCTACAGGAAAGGGCTAGTGTGCCCGTCGGACGTTCACAGCCTGAGCTCGCCCTGCGATGCGCTCCCAGGGAGGAGCAGCGCTCCCCTCCAGGATTCGAGGGGCGGCGGGGCCCTTACGTTTTTTCTGGAATCGGGCACGTCTGGGATCGCGTCTCTCTTTCCTCGTCGCGCACCCTGATGGGACGGCAGCTAACGCGTGCTGAGCGGCCGGCCGGCCCTGGCCGTGCTCTCCGCGTCGTATCTCAATTAATGCTCAGACACCTCTGCAGAGGGGTCCTTACCTTCCACTTTGAAGCGAGGAACTTGAGCTCCGAAAAGTTCAGAATCCCTGCGCTGCTCCCCGCTGCTCTCCCGCAGGGCCGGCTACCCGGTTGGTGCTCTTCCCGCCTCTCCACGCAGAGAGCCCGCGGGGAGCACCTGCTTCTCTCCTGCGCCCCCCAACAAGGAGATTCAATACTCACAGTCACTGCATGCAGGCTGCTCTGCTGTCTGCAAGGGGATGTCACAGACAGGTAGGATCACCTCCCGTTACTAACGGGGAAGGGGACCCCCAGAGAGGAGAGTTCAGGGCCCTTAGGAGAACCTGGAGCCGCTGTTCTGGCCCTGAGTCCCGCGCCTTCTCACCCCGCTGCCCCACTTCTGCTGCCCACATGGGGAAGTGGTCATGGTCACCGGAGCTCCATGGCCCCAACCCAGGCCTGTGGGTAGAATAACGTGCAGTCTATTTCCCAATTAAAAATGGGAACCCCGAATATGACACAGGAACCTGTGCAAACAAAAGGACAGAGTATTTGAAATGGAAATGCCCAGGGAACGTGCAGGAGGTGTGTGGTTGTCATAGATATAGGAGCCCCTCCTCCCAAGGAGGAAGCAGGGGCCCCAAAGGCCGGTCTGGCCCTAGCATGGCTCCGTGTGCATCTCGGCCCGGGGGAGACCTAGTTACCCTGGGCCGGGTGCCCTGGAGCAGGAGCCAGTGACTGTCGAAGGTAGTCACAAAACCAGCTTAGGATGAAGAGAGACATCTCCATCCACCTGGTTGCCTGGGCCGGGAACAGAGCCATCACAGATACCCCTCTATCACTCCTCGGATAGCTCTCGTAATCACCCACTTCTCTCCAACCCCACCCTGGTCCCATCTCCCAGCTGGCCTTGCCCAAACTTCTCCAAAGCACAGTTGGAAGAACTTCTTTTTTTTTTTTAAAGATTTTATTTTTCCTTTTTCTCCCCAAAGCCCCCCAGTACATAGTTGTATATTCTTCGTGTGGGTCCTTCTAGTTGTGGCATGTGGGCTGCCGCCGCAACGTGGTTTGATGAGCAGTGCCATGTCCACGCCCAGGATTCGAACCAACGAAACACTGGGCCGCCTGCAGCGGAGCGCGCGAACTTAACCACTCGGCCACGGGGCCAGCCCCTGGAAGAACTTCTAAAACCCTAGCTCTGATCTGTCACCCCCTAGTTTAAGGCTCGGATCTGGTTTCCCATCGCCCTCGGGTCCAAATCCAAACTCTGCTGACGGAGTTTACCAGACCAGCCTCCCCCTCTAGCCTAACGCCACCCCCAAACCACGCACCCCAGGTTGTGGCCCCAAACCGCAAGTACTTCCAGTCCTGCAAGCCTCCAGGTGGGGCAGGATAAGGGTCCTGACCCCAGAACTCAGACTCAAGCCAGGTTCCCGTGTAAATTGGTCTGGCCTCCCTCTTCCCGGGAGATGGAGCCTCCTGGTGTAAGTGAGAAGGTCCTCTGAGTTAGTGCTTTTGTAATCCACCCTCAGCAGTCATAGCTAAAAGCCGGAAACCAAATAACATGGCAGGTAAAGCAACTTAACAAAAGCAGGCGTTTGCTCTATTGTCTAGGTTTTAGATCCTTTTATATCCCTCCCAAAATGTCCTCGGGCTCAGAAAAATCACAAGTGGAAATGGAAAAGAGAATAAAAACTACAGAAAAGGGGAAAACATTCTGGAGATTTGTTTTTTCTGAACATTAACTGTGCTTTGGCCAACGGGAGCTAATTGGTAAAGGAACGTGTTTCCGTGAACAACTTTTATAAACACAACATTTCTCAAGGCTGTCCCATCCACCAGACAACACACGCCGGCCTGGGCACCCTCCCCACTTGCCCAGGTCCCTCCAGCGGGCTCCCCTCCTCAGCGCACCCCTCCTCCTCCCCAGCCAACGTCCACTTAGGCTTCCTCCGCTGACTCCCAACCAGGTGAGTCTCCCCAACTACATTTCCACGGCCCCTTGCCCCTGCCCAGTGGAAACACTCATCTTTCATTTGTAACAACTGGTTCAGTGTCCGGCTGAGCTGGGTTACGCTCCTCATCACAACACTCTTGGCAGGTGGCACGGGCTGAAGAAGAGGCGAAAGAGGGGCACCTGTGTGCTCGATTCTCTGCTGAGTTTGTTACATGTGTTATCCCCTTGCACCTTCACAACAAGCCGGTGAAGTGGGTGCCTTTATTCCTTCTCACAAAGAGAAAGCTGAAACTCAGAGGTTGAGACCCACAGGCAGTCGGCACGACAATGGAAGTAAGGTCTGGCTAAGGCAGAGCCTACACTCCCAACCACCAGACTATACAATACGTGCTCAGGGTATTATTGGATGGATGGATGGTGGATGGATGCAGGGATAGATGAGGGATGAATGGAGAGGTGGGTGGAGGGTGGATGGATGGACGAATGATGGATGGATTGATGATGGATCGGCAGATGGGTGGAGGGTGGGTGGATGGATGGATGGTGACTGGATGGACGGATGAGTGAATGAGTGAAAAGCAGTGCTGAGAGTCTGGAAAGAAGAGAGCAGCTATGCAAATAGGAACAGTCCACGAGCGTCTAAGGCAGTGGCAGAGCTGAAATTAAGAACATCACCTTATAGGACTCGAAGCTCTTGCAAAACCATATTTTGCCATGTAGTGATAAATATTTCATCAAGAACAGTGGACTGCCAAACTAGAGCGCTTGCTGGGAGGTGGCAGAGGAACAGACCACGTGGCAGGAATGCTGAGATGCTCTGTGATGCAGACAGGGGCTGGGTGGGGAGCACTGGCCCTTTAATGACAAGCCCAGAGCTTTGGGTTCCGATGGCAGTTGATGAGGGACACGGGGGTGCCCAGGACCCAGGGCTTCCAGGTGCTGCTCACCAGATCTCCAGACTGGACGGCCCCCTTGCTGGGCCACCATTCCAGGGAGCTGCTGACGCTACCCGGAGACCCCAAGGCTCTTGCCAGCCCAGGTCAGGGGGTTTTGTGTTAAATTCCTTTTCCCCTGGCGCCTGTGCCAGGGCAGCTGGTTGGGAAGTTTCCAGCCCCATTTCCCCTCCCTCAGGCTCTGCTCCCCTTGCCCCGACCCGCCCCTCCCTGCGGTCCACCAGGACCACGTTTGGTTCACCTGCCCTGGGTCCTAGTGGGCCGCCACCTACCTGAGTCAGGTGGGCTGCTCTCAACCCTGGCATCCGGAAGGCCTTTCCAGTCCTGGCTGAGCCGCCGGCCTCCTCTTCCTCCCCCGGCCTCAGTGTCCCAGGTACAGAAAGAGCAGGTTAGACAGGAAGGTGGCCTTAGCTCTTGACATGGGCTGTGGTGTTTCTCCTACAGCGGAATTCTGGTGCACTGGCCTTTGCCCCCTTCCCCTGGCACCCTTCCTTGGCTCCCTTCTCCCTCCCACCAGCGAGGAAGCTCCCCGGCGCCACCTCCCCTCCTGGTGCCATGCTAAGGTGACCCCTCTAGCTGTTCCATCCTCCCTAGGGTGAGCGATCGCCCCCAGTTTGCATGGCACAAACTGGTTTTAGAACTGAAAACCCTTATCCCCAGCAACCCCTCCGTCCCAGGGAAGCTGGCACAGTCACCTGGACTATCTCTGCCTCAAGGATCCTAGGCTGCCCCTGCTTCTGTCCCTTCCCAGCCCTGCCAGCACCCTGGCCCTCACCAGGGTCCGTTCATGTGTCCACCTCCCTCACGACTGTGGGCTGGAGCGGGGACAGCCCGTCAGGGCCGCAGTGCCTGCTGGGAGGGGTGCTCAGGATAGTCCCCTGGGAGGAATGAACCCTGGAATGTTTGCGCTCTCTTCCTGTTGGACTTAAACCTATCCTAACTTGCTTCAGAGTCCCCACAACTAAATCCGTCTGCCCTCAGGCCCCGCCGACTCCAGGCCTGGGCGACTACAGGGACGGCCCTCCAGGTGGTGCTGGGCGCCCCAGGCGCCGGCCCACCGAGGGGGAGGGGGCCCAGGCCGGGCGGGTCGCCGAGCAGGAATCCCTGGAATGTGGCCGCCCCTTCCAAAGCCGGGCCCCACCTGTTCCGGTCTGCAGCTCTCCCCACCTCGACCTGGATGCAATCCCCCTGGTTAGAGAGGGGTCCCACCAAGTGAGGAAGAAAGGGCTCCCGGGACAGGCCAGATGGGAATCAGGTCCAGAAAGCCAGGGGGATTCTGCAAAGGCTGTAGGTTTTCTGCGGGGTGGGGCTGTGCAGCGGTGGCTCACAGGGTCATCTTTAAAGAATATAAATTTGGCTGCTAACATTCCACCTGTGTTTCTCTGTCACGTCAAACTATTTCCACTTGTGTCGGTGTTATTAAAAACCACAGCAGCTGTTCCTTCTGAGCGCCTACTGTGTGCTTCCACTCCCCTACGGACTTTAAATACAATCTTAAGTCCCAAACCTAGTTGTGAACTATTCTAACCTTTACAGATGAGGAAAATGGAGGTTCAGAGAGTCTCAGTGATTTGCCCAAGGCCACACAGCCAGTAAATGACAGAGCGCGTGGCTTGAGCCCGCTCTTTCAGCCCCCAGAGTCTCTGTGTGTCCCTCGAACCACATGGGCCCTTTGCAGGTGCCGTTTCCACAAACGGGTCACGGCGGCTTGGCAGCCTGCCTTTCCCGGCTACAGCTGATGGCGAGTGTGTCCCCACGTCGCCCCCGTGCAGCCCTCTCCATCCCCCGCCCCCCCATGGCTGCTTGTGAGCCCTCCATTGCACGTCTGGTCATTTCCAGAGTTTCGTGACTATGAATTCTTTCTGTGGGATAAGATCCAGGAGCCCCAACTGGGTCACGAGGCTGGGACATTCTCAACAGGGACATGTAACCCAGGAGAGAGGTGACCTTCGTGTGAGTGTGTGCCAGGCTGGTGTGTACCCCTCACCTGGGCACTGGAGGGGAAGCCCACGGGGCCAGGCAGACCCAGCACTCACGGCCTTTCTGGGTTTCCCACGGCTCGCTGAGAATTCCCTGCCGGAGGAGCAGCCGGCCTAAAATAGAAAAGCTGACACAGGGGAAACACAGGGGCCGAAGTCCAGGCCTGTGCCCAAGCGCTCTACCTGCCAGCTGCAGGCCAGCTCCCTCAAGGAGCCTGGCGGCACCTCTGCCTGCCTCCCTGCCTCCCTCCATCCTCTGGGTCTTTAAATTCCCCACCCCCCAAAGCAGCGAAGGGCTGACGTTTGCAGGGAATGTGGACACGGACAGACGAGGCTTCTGCGAGGCTGGCCAGCAGCCTGGGCTCCCTCGCAGCTGTCTTCCTGTGAGAGCCCGACCTTGGCGGATGGAAGTGCAGTCAGCAAGGGGCAGCCCCACCACGCCCAGCCCTGTGGCCAGAGCCTCTAGCCCACAGGCAGATGGGGCAGGCGCTCCCCAATGCAGGCCTGCTTTGGGAAGTGGGGGCGGGCTTGAAGTTGGCACCCTTTGGTTTTATCTGGGGCAGAGGAGGTGGGATCTGGATAGTTCTAACCCCAAACATCGCTTCCCCATCAATCCCGGGGTCTTATGTTAAAGCCGTCGGGGACCAAGGAGGAGGGACTGTGAGGGCACAGAGGCTATATAAATAATAGAAACAGCGGTCCCTAAAACGGAGATGACAGGTGGACCTCAGCGCCTGCTGAGAACACACAGACCCGCTGACAATCCCCTTCCCGGAATCTTTCCCTCAGAAGCAGCGGCCGAAGGCTCGAGGCTGCCAAAGGGTGTTCACGACAACATCATTTATAATGGTGAAATAATTGGAGACAACTTAAATGTCCATCGCTAGAGCAAGAGACAAATCACTCGTGGTCCATGGGATCCTGGAACCCTCTGCAGCCGCCAAATCAAGGAGGCGGCTGGAGAAGCCGTGCTGGAGGAGCCGGGCCACGGAGGGACGGCCAGGGCATGCTGAGAGGGAGAACCAGCGATGGAAGAATGTGCACAGAACGATAGGAGTTCTGTAAAGCAAAGCTGGATGTGGGGAGAAAGAGAGACTGCAGCAGCAGAGGCTCCGGAGGGTACCTAGACTGTCACGCCCAGGGGGAGGGAGACAGGATTGCAGGGGAGACTGTCAATTTTCCTTTTATACCACTGATATTCTCCCGATCGGAGGTCCTGCTTTTGTGATTAAAGAAAATAATAATGTCTCGTTCATTTCCACAATAGGAGAATGACACGTGATTCACAAATATGTCTCTCTCCCATCAAGCCCATTCCCAGACCTCACTCATCCCCCAGCGTCTTCATAACGATCCTAGGTACCCAGTGCTGCCAGGAGCCATGGATGCGAAGCTGGCCCCACGTGGCCCCTGCCCCAGGGAGCTCTCGTCTAACAGGAGTCAGAGCCACAGGCCGTGGTCACAGGCTGTGGTGCCAGGTTCTAGGATGGGCTGCTGGCACGGGCAGCCGTGCTGGTGGGTTGGTGGAGAGTCAAGGAGGCTTTCCCAGATGGTGTTTGACCAGAGGCACTGGAAGAGCAGGGGCTGCCCCCAGGCAGGACACAGGCCTTTGGAGGGAAGAACGGGCCACATATACAAAGGCCAGCGGCGTGGGGGAAGCGAAGGGGCTGAGGCTGGAGGAACGAGGAAGATGGGGCTGCAGAGCCGTGTAGGGCTCCACCAGCAAGGCTCGGGAGAGAGTGGGCTGAAGATGCAGGGGAGGGAGAAGGAGATGCCCAGGGCCTCCTGCAGCTCGAGGCCTGGAGTCAGCTCCGCAGGCAGGGAGGCGAGCCTGCAGCCCCCCATGCCCAGGGGTCCCACCGAGCTTGCGGAAGGTCAGGAAGGCCCAGGGATGAGAGCATCCACGCCTTCTGGGGTGGCGGTAGAAAGGGGCTTGAGAGCAGGGCTCTGGGCCCAGACTGTGGCACCCAGAGACTGGCTGGGTCTCTCAGAGTGGCCTGGACACTCTGCCGGCTCGGCTTCCTCCCCTGAAAAGTGCGAGTGGCCTGGAGACAGACCTGCGTATAGGGCCGTTTGTGAGAGCAAAGACATCGTGAGTCTGAAGCATTTAGCCTGGCTCTCGTTAGGAATGCTGGCAGAAGGAGGTGGGCCTCGTCCCGGGGGATTGGGCAGCCTTTCCCAGGTCCTGGGCAAGAGGTCACTATTGCTGTCTGTGTCACTCAAAGCCTGCTGAGAGCAGAGACCCCACGGCCCCCGGGGTAACACCAGTGGGTAGTGGAGAAGTGCTACGGCAGAGGGGACCCCAGTGAGAGCTGCCCCAGGAAGACAAGGCCACCGGGGACCTTGGCTCCTGGCTCCTCCCCGGGCCAAGAGCCTGTCAGACTTCGGGGTGCAGCAGAATCATAGGGCCCCCAGTGTGTCTGGGCTGGAGCCCAGGAATCTGCGACTCTAACTAGCCGCCTGCGGGGTCCTGGCCACATTTGGAGAAACACTGTTCCGTGTCCAGTCCCAGCGTGATTTGTCACCTGGACCGGTCCATCCCCACCATCTCTCCTCCTTGGCCAGGCCTGGTGTCCCCCCTGCATTCCCAGCTTCTGTTCCCTCTGTTGCCGGCTGCCCCCGGCCTGTGAGGTCACCCTGCCCGCACAACCTCTCGCCCCGACCCTGCTCAGCCTCAGCTCATCCTTCTAAGGGCCTCAGTCTCTCCAGAGTTTCCAGATCCCCTTCCGCATCGCAAGCCTGGAGGAGGCCGCCTTTGGCCAGGGCCCCGCTCATCTATGCTGTGGAAGGTGGGAAGTGTCCTCGCTCAGGCCTGCCCCTTTGGCAGGACCTGGGGTGGCCAAGCAGAGCTTTGAAGCAGCTGTGATGTGACCGCTGCCTTGGCCTGCCTGACACAGCATCCAGACAGCTCTGGCCGTCCTGGAATTCTCGTCTGTCCATCCACCCGGCTGATTCTGCTTTGGCCCTCTGTCTCCATCCCCCTCCTTCTGGATGGTCTGTCTGGTGTCAGAGTCCAGATTTGTCCCTGATGAGACCACGGGCGTCTTCCCGATCTCCACAAAGCCTCCATAAAGCAAGCCTGCTGCCCATGTTCAGCTCTCAACCCTAGGAGTCAGGACCTGAACGTGGAGCTTGATTTTTACAAGGCTCTGAACTGCACAGTGGTTATAAAAGCGTGAGTTTTGGAATCAGACACACCCAGGCACCTCCCCGCACCTCAGTTTCCTCATCTGTAAAATGGGAATGGTCACACCAACTCGTCTGGTGTTTCAAGGATTCTTCTGCAATCACGTGGAACGCAGTGCAGGGCCTAGAACCCAGTAAGCACTCAAAAGGTACAGTTGTTTATGAATCTTGTTTTCTTTTTAAACTAATATATCATAAAATTGCATTGGGGGGGGCAATACAGTTCTGTGACTTTTGCACATGTATAGCTTTGTGTAGCCACCACTGTAATCAGGAGTGCAGCATTCCAAACCCCCGAACTCCTTCTGCTGCCCCTTCGCGCTCCCGTCCTCCCCGTCCCTGACCGCTGGCGATCGCTGAGCTGCTCCACACCCCTACAGTTCTGTCTTTGCCAGGATGACAGATACATGGAATTCTGTAGCGCGGAAGCTTTGAGACTGGCTTCTTCCTCTCAGCATAAAGCCTCTGAGGTCCACCCATGGTGTTGCCGCATCAAGTCTGTCCTTTCCATCGCGGAGCAGCCTCCATTGCACGGATAGACCATCACTAGGTTGACCGTTTACTCCCTGAGGACGTTTGAGTGGTTTCGGTTTTGGGCCATCGTGAATAGAGCTGCTGTGAACTCTCGCGTAGAGACGTGTGTGTGAACATAAATTTTCATTTCTCCTGAGTCGGTACAGAGGAGTGCGCTTCCTGGATCTTTGGATGAGTATCTCTTTAACGTTTTAAGAATCTGTCAAACTGTTTTCCAGAGCGGCTGTACCGTTTTGCATTCCCACCAGCGATGTTAGGAGTTCTAGACATTCTGAATCCTCACCAGAGCTCAATGTGGTCAGATTCTCGTGAATTTCCCCCCATTTTAATGGATGTGTAGTGGATTCTCGTCGTGGATTTTTTGCAAATAGGTTTTTATTGTGGTAAAATACACGTAACATAAAATTTGCCACATTAGCCATTTTTAAGTGTATAATTCAACGGCATTAAGGACATTCACACTGTTGTGCAACCATCACCTCTACGCATTTCCAGAGCTTCTGAATCATCCTAGAGAGAAACCCTGTCCCCAATATACTGAAACTCCCTCTTCCCACCTCTCCCACCCCAGCCACTGATAGTCTCCAGTCTTCTTTCTGTCTCTATAAATCTGCCTGTTCCGGGTACTTCATATAAGTGGAATCGTATAATCTGTGTCCTTTTGTGTCTGGTTTATTTCACTGAGCATGATGTCCTCAAGGTTCACCTGTGTTTCGGCATAGGTCAGTACTTCATTCCTTTTTATGGATGGACAGTATTCCAGTGAATGGATATACTACAGTTTTTTAAAAAATCCGCTCCTCTGGGTTGTTTCCGTCTGTCGGCTATTGCGAATACTGCTGCTCTGAACGTGGGTGTGCAAGCATCTGTCTGAGTCCCTGCTTCCAGTTCTTTCAGGTGTCTCCCTGTGGTTCTAATTTGCGTTTCTCCAGGGCTCATGAGGTTCTTATTATTTTTCATCTCTGTATCTTCTTTGGTGGAGTGTCTGTTTAAATATTTTCCTTATTCTTTTATTTGGGTCATTTGTTTTCTTATTTTTGAGTAGTGACAGTTATTTCTGTATTATGGATGCAGTCCTTTGTAGGACATGTAATTTATGAATATTTTCTCCCGGTCTGTGTCTTATGTGCCTTCTTTTAGCAATGCCTATCACAAAGCAAAGGTTTTTTTTATTTTGATGAAGTCTAATTTAGCATTTTTTTTCTTTTATGAATTGTGTTTCTGGCATCACATACACTCTGCCTAATCTATGGCCACAAAGGTTTTTTTTCCAAAAGAGTTATAATTTTACACCTTACATTTAGATCTATGATCTCGATTGAGTTAATTTTTGTTTTAAGGGTGAGATATGGGTTAAGGTTCATTTTCAATGCAACGAATATGCAATTATTCCAGCATCATTTGTTGAAAAGAGTACCCTTTATCTATTGAGTTGCCTCTGTACTTGTGTCAAAAATCAATTGAAAGAGATTCAGTTTACATCTAAGGATACACATAGGTTGAAAGTGAAAGGACGGAAAAAGATAGTAACCAAAGGAGAGCAGGGTTGGCTACATTCATGTCAGACAAAACAGACTTTCAGTCAAAAACTGTTAAGCGAGACAGAGACATTATATATCAATAAAAGGGTCAGTTTGCCAAGAAGATGCAACAGTTATAAACATATATGCACCAAACATCAGAGCTCCAAAGTATACAAAGCAAACTATAAACCAACTGAACCTAACAGATGCATATAGAACACTCGACTCAACAGCTGCAGAATACACGTTTTTCTCAAGTGCTCATGGAACATTCTGCAAGACAGACCATGGGTTAGCCCACAAAACAATATTTTAAAATGTTTGAATATTGAAATCATTCAAAGTCTGTTTTCTTATCACAATAGAATAAAATTAGAAATCAATAGCAGAAGGAAAATGTGAAAAATTTTTAAATATGTGTTAAATAGCACGCTATTAAACAACCAATGGGTCAAAGAAGAAATCACAAGGGAAATTAGAAAGTATCTTAAGATAAGTGGAATCAAAAACACAACATGCCAAACTTATGGATGCAGCAAAAGCAGTGCTAAGAGGGAAATTTATAGGTGTAAAGACTTACATTAAAAAGAAAGAAGAAGAGGAAGAAGAAAGACCTCAAATCAACAACCTAACTTTACAGCTCAAGGAACTAGAAAAAGAACAAGCTGAACCCAAAGCTGGCAGAAGGAAGAAACTGATAAAACTAGAATAGAGATAAATAAAACAGAGAATAGAAAAACAGTCAAGAAAAAATCAATGAAACCGGAAGCTGGTTCTTTGAAAGGATGCCCTTTGTTTCTTTTTCTTGACTTATTGCAAGAAGCCTCCAGCAGAATGTTGGAAAGTGAGAGTGGGCTACCTTGCCTTATTCCTGATTTTAGGGGGAACGCATCCAGTCTTTGACTATTCAGTGTGAAACTGGCTATAGGTTTTTTGTGGATGCCCTTCCTTAGGTTAAGGAAGTTTCTATCTATTCTTAGTTTTCAAGGATTTTTGTCATGAATCAGTGTCAAATTTTGTCAAATGCTTTTTTCTTCAACAATTGATATGATCATGTAGTTTTTCTTCTTTAGTCTGTTAACATGCTGGGTTACATTAACTGATTTAAAAATGTTGAACCAGCCTTGAATAAGCCCCACTTGATCATGATGTGTATTTTTTTGATATATGTCTGAGATTGATTTGCTAATATTATATTTAGGATTGTTGCATGTGTGTTCATGATGGATATAGGTCTATAATTTTCTTATCTTGAATTGTCTTTGTCACGTTTTCTATCAGGTTAATGCGGATTTCATAAAATGAATTAGGATTTCTTCCTCTTCTACAAAAAAGATTATGTAGAACTGGTGTTATTTCTTCTTTGTATTTGAGTAGAATTTCCAGTGAAACTATCTGGGCCTAGAGTACTTTCTTTCTTTCTTTCTTTCTTTTATTTTGGAGGAAGATTAGCCCTGAACTAACTGCTGCCAATCCTCCTCTTTTTGCTGAGGAAGGCTGGCCCTAAGCTAACATCCATGCCCATCTTCCTCTACTTTATGTGTGGGATGCCTACCACAGCATGGCTTGCCAAGCGGTGCCATGTCCACACCAAACCATCAAACCCCAGGCCGCCAAAGCAGAATGTGCACACTTAACCACTGAGCCACCAGGCCGGTCCCTAGAGTACTTTCTTTTTTTAATAAAATTTTAAGCAGAAAATTCAATTTTTTTAATAGATATGAGACTGTTCATGTTATCTATTTCTTCTCAGGTGAGCTTGGGTAAGTTTGCGCTTTTCAAGGAATTGGTTCATTTCATTGAAGTTTTTGAACTTATGTGCATAGACTTGTTCACAGTATTCTCTTATTAGCCTATTAATGTCTGTGGGGTCTGTAGTGATAGCTTTTCTTTCATTCCTGATATTGGTCATTTTTATTTTCTTTCTTTATCCCTGATCATTTTCCTTGCTCTGAAGTCTACTTTGTCTGATATTAATTTAGCCACTCCAGCCTCCTTGATCAGTGTTTGTATAGTATATCATTTTCTATGCTTTGGTTTTTCACCCATCTATATCATAGTTGAAGGAAGTTTGTTACAGACAGCCTATGGTTGGGTTATGGATTTTAATCCATTTTGACATTTTATTTTATTTTTGTGGTGTGTTTAGACCATTTATGTTTTATTTTATTTTATTGTGTAGAGAACACTTAACATGATATCTACCCTCTTAACAAATTTTTAAGTGTACAATACATTATTGTTGACTATAGGGAAGCCATTTACATTTAATGTAATTATTGATATGTTTGGATTGGGGTCTACCCTTTTATTATTTATTTTCTATTTGTCTTCTGGTTTTTTTTTCTTCCTCCATTTCTCTTCTCATGCCTTTTAAACAATTATCTGAATACCTTTTAGTTTTCCATTTTAATTTACCAATTGGGTTTTTTGCCTGTGTGTTTTGTGTGCATAGTTTTTTAGTAGATTATCTAGGGATTAAAATAATCATATTTCTAACATTACTTCACAGTCTACATCAAAGTAATATTTCCCACTTCAAGTGGAATGTGGAAACCTCACCAGCATGTTGACCCCTTTTACCCTCCTGCCTTTCTGTTGTGGTTCTCTATGTATTTAGATCTAAATACACTGAAAATCCCACTAGACAATGTAATATTTTTCTTTCAACCATCATGCATATTTTTTAAAACTTAAAAGGAAAAGAATAGTCTGTTTACCTAGATATTTACAATTTCTGTTGCTCTTCATTCCTGACATTCCAAATTTCCCTCTTGCTTCATATCCCTCTCGCCCAAGAACTTCTTTAGGGCAGGTCTGCTGGTCATGAATTCTTTGTTTTCCTGCGTCTGAGAATGCGTCTATCCTTCCTGAAGGGTATTTTGGCTGGGTTGACAGTTCTTTTCTTCCAGTGCTTTTAAAATGTCGTTCCACTCCCTTCTGGCCTCCATAGTTTCCAATGAGAAATCTGCTGTCATTCCATATTTTCCCCAATATTTTTTGATAAAGCTTGTTTCTCACCTCTCTCCAGACTTTTTCTCTGTCTTTAATATTTGTCAGTTTGACTATGATGTGAATTAGAGTGGAATTTCTTTAAGTTTAATCTGCTTGAGGTTCACTCAGCTTCTTGAAACTGTAGGTAGGTTTGTGTCTTTTGCCAGATTTGGGGAGTTTTCAGCCGTTTTTTCTTTGAATACTTTTTAAGCTCTGTCCCCTCTCTCCTCTCCTTCCAGGCCTCCAGTGTCATGACTTTTTGATCTTTCGTTATAGTCTCAAGGTCCCTGAGGTTCTGTTCCTTTTTTAAAAAAAAAATTCAGTCCATTTTCTCTCTGTTGTTCAGAATGGGCAATTTCTACTGCTCTATTTTCCAGCCCATTATTCTTTCTTCTCTCCTCTCCATTCTGATGTTGAGTCTGAGCCCATCCTTTGAGATTTTTTGGTTTCAGTATTTCACAGTTTTGAAATTTCCATTTGGTTCTTCTTTATATAGTCTCCTTCTTTGCTGAGACTTTCAATTCTTTCACTTGCTTTGAGTGTGTTCACAATTGCTCACTAAAGCCTTTTTATGATTTACAATCTTTATCAAAGAATTCTACGATCTCTGTCACTTCAGCATCAGCATCTATCAATTGTCTTTTTTCATTCAGTCTGAGATCTTCCTGGCTCTAGGTATGACCAGTGATTTTTCATTGGAACCTGGACATTTTGGGTATTACATTATGAGGCTCTGGATCTTATTTGAACTTGTTTTAGCTGGTTTCCCCTGACACTGCTCCAGCAAGGGAAGGGGGTGAGGGGTACCATGTCATTGTTGCTGAGAAGTGGGGGTGGAAGTGCAGCCCCCTCTGAAGGAGGTGCTCCTGTGTTGGTGGGTAGGAGTTCCAGCTCCCCAGTGAGTCTCCACTGACACCTCCCTGGTTGGGAGGGGTAAGAGTACCTCCTTACTGTGCTCACATGGCCTCCAGGGCACTGCAGCAGTGGGGGCGGGGGGGATTACCACCCACCAGGGATGAAATTCCTGGGCCCCTGCCTGTCCTTCTTTGAC